GAGCAAAGGTCGGTCTGAAGCTGTGGGGATGTGACGTTTTGCGGCTTTTTGAGATAACCTGGATAAAGCGGGCATATGCTTGGTTGATTGTAATGTTGTGGGGATGCAGACAATGCCTCTTTTCAGGTCACTGGTGAAGCTTGTCCATTCGAATTCCATCTCGTTGTTGGGCGAATTTGGCGATGCGCAGTCTGATTCTGATGTGGATTGCGATGGGTCTATGTGGGCTGCATGGGAAACCGTGCAGGACATGGCATGAGTCTGAAAGTGGACATCCGCCCTCCAAGGAGACACAACAGAGGTCTGGAGAGTGATGCGTTCCCCCAGCGGGCCGATCTGAAAGACCTTCGTTGTTTTATGTCCCAGGTGGAGTCTTGACTCAAGACTAGAATATCTTTCGAGACGTCGCATACATTTTTTCGCGATATCAAAACTAATGAGCAGCCTAATTAAACAATTTGTACTTCGCGATGTTGTGAGAGGCAAGGTGTCTTTTCAGGGCCGCGAATAAAAATCCTACATTCGTGAATTACTCTGCAATACGTTTTCATGTAAATTCGAAACCGTCGTTCAGGAACGCAATTAAAGTATCTATCCATGGAATATAAGTGATACAAGTGTTACAGTTATTTGGGAAAACCTTTAAAATGCATTACGCTTTGTGCTTTGCGGGTATCTCAGGGGTGTTTTTTGTTATTTTAATGAAGTAACAATAAATGCACAAACGGTTAACTCATGCCAATCTAATATGCAATACTAAATCATTGGCTTCTAATTCCATAACATATATTATGTCTACGCACGAACTGAATATGAATAACCGAACCAAACATTTCACAAGACCAATTACAGTGTATGAAATTATTGGTGTATATTATGTTGTACATCGAATTCCGAATTAATATATTGAGCCCACGAAATAAAAGTAGTCATCAATCCATTGAATTTAAATGAAACAAGTGTTCAAAAAACTCGGGAAACCCATGATACTTACAATGATATTCATTTTGCAAATTGATCTTGGTGCGCAACATTTTGTATGAGGAATTCATCAAATTCAGCGTTTAGACCCCTTGCACCCAGCGTCCTCACAGAGGGTGGGTCTTTGTTCCTTCGTGATACAAATTCTGTCCTTATTTTATGTTGACGTTGGTGTCCACACTAAGTCTCTTGGTGCCCATCATTTTGTTCGAGGACCTTATTGACTTCTGCGTACAAACTCCTTGTGTACAGTGTCCACATATAGGTCAGGTCTTTGTTATTCATCATACAAGTTATGTCCCCATTTTATGTTGACATTGGTGTCCATACTAAGTCTCTTGGAGCCCAGCATTTTGTATGAGGACCTCACTGACTTCAGCGTATGGACGCCTTGCATACAGCGTCCTCAGGACAGGTCTTTGTTCCTTCATCATACAAGTTATGTCCTCATTTTATGTTGACATTGGTGTCCATACTAAGTCTCTTGGAGCCCAGCATTTTGTATGAGGACCTCACTGACTTCAGCGTATGGACGCCTTGCATACAGCGTCCTCAGGACAGGTCTTTGTTCCTTCATCATACAAGTTATGTCCTCATTTTATGTTGACATTGGTGTCCATACTAAGTCTCTTGGAGCCCAGCATTTTGTATGAGGACCTCACTGACTTCAGCGTATGGACGCCTTGCATACAGCGTCCTCAGGACAGGTCTTTGTTCCTTCATCATACAAGTTATGTCCTCAGTGAGGGCGCTCTCCGCAAAATAAACTGTTCCCGTTCCCTCACCAACCGGACAACTTGGCATATAAAGTGGAAAGGGTGAACGACCGATAATCTCTCATATAGAAATGCCGGATATGCGCTTCAAAATATTTAGTGAATATACGACAGCAGATTAAGGAAGTTTAAAGCGTTAACCAGTCCATTCTCCTTGAATTCAACAACGAAAGTACTTTTTACATTCATTGCTGTCCACCTAGAAGTATCAATTTGCCCGAATCCAAATTTTGTCGAAGGCTGAGTATGCTATTGATTTGGGTGTCATCATTTGTGGAATTTATCATTGAAAATGATTTGGATAATCACTGGAGTCTTGATCTGAGGCCAAATCTCGGTAATAAATGCAGTGTATCCATGCTTGTTGTCCAGGTAATTACATGTGCCTGCATAATACACTGTTGTGAAAAAAAGTTTTTAAGAAACTACAAAATTACCAATAACAAAATAGCGACTCTATTTACAGAAGCTTTTGTCATCAAAAGCACTTTATGGACAAAAACAAATCTTATTTTCATAGGAAAAGAAAAGAAAACGCCTTTTAAAATTGCCGAAATGATCTGTGCCTTAGAAATTGATTAGAGTCTCGTAGATTCTACGGAATCTTTTGAGAGGAGCTTTTAGATTCTGAAGTATACCTGGAGCGTATCAAAGCTCTCATCACTGGGCCGAAATGTGGATGCTTGACGGCATAGATAAGAGGATTAATGCAACAACTGATGAATAAGATCAAGGCGCCGTACAGCTCGTATCGGTGGTTGCTAGTGACATCAATGATGGCATGAGGAATGACGCAGACCATGAAGACTAAGACTATCAGAAAGAGGTTCTTGGTTATTGCCAGTTGCTCATTCCTCATACGGCGGCTCAGTCGACGTGAGCTCAGGGTGCTTTTGATAGCCCTAGCGGACTGTTGAGAGCTACTGGTATGGGCATCGTCACTCTCTTGCTTTGAAGAAGACGAGGGGCCAGAACGTCTACCGCTCGATGACTGCAGACCATGTTCATGTTGTCCACGCTTCTTGAAGTGACGTCTAACATGTCGCCAGATCAGGAGATACGAAGTAATGATGACAAGGAAGGGCAGTGGGCAAAACACGGCAAATTGAAGGTTGTCGTACTCGTCTGCTCTCGGATGAGTTTCAACATCTTTGCAGGAGCGTGTCTCAGGATCGAAACCAAGGCCACCAATGCCAGACAGTGGCGGTATGATGGTGGTACACACGGGTATTAGCCAAGAGCCAAAAACCATCAAGGCAGTCTTCTTGGGTGTGTACAGCCATTGGTAGGTCTCCATAGGTCTAATGACTAGGATGCATCGGTTCAGGGCGATGTTTGCAAGGGTAAATAAGCTAGTACTTATGGTGATGTACACAAGAGACGCCGAGGCAACGCACATGATGTCGGGCTGCAATGGGTAGCCGGGAGTTTTACTCAGCAAGCCAGGTACAGTCCACAGGATTGCAAAACTGGACAGGAAATCAGTCACGCTCAGGTTGACCACGAACACGTTGGTGATGTTCTGGAGTTTCTTGGTACGGGCCACGGCAACCAAGACTAGGCAGTTACCGCTGATTGCCAGGACTATCAGGATAGAGAACCCAACGGCAAGAAAAACCAACTCGGGGTACGTGTACAGGACTTCAAAGGTTGAGTTCAGCTCAGGAGTTGAGTTTGTAGAAAACGCCATTGTTGCAGCTGCGATTGCTTCTGTTGTTTTATTATTGTGCTTATCAAAACTTATGTATTAAACTCCAGTCCACAATACCCGGTGTCTAATTCGAAACCAAATTCAGGCACAGTCCTTTCAGTGTTATGTGCTCGATGTCACGGAAAGGAAACGCATGTACAGTTATGGGATGGTTATTTTTCATAGAAAAAAAGGTCATTTCCTATCAACAGTTGTTTTTTGTAACGAACTTCCCGTTTCATATTACCTTTGTCACTATGGCATGATTCCAAGAACTTTTAAGGACAATAAAGATGCACAAAAATAATGCATTACCGTGATACATGTACAAACATCTTGTGGTTTGGCCAATAGTAATGTTGTCAAGCGATAACCAATATCCACTGAACTTTTTCCGTAATAGATGAACAGCGCCTGTCGTGCTTTTACATCATTTAGAACATTTATTTCACTGTTGCCATTCTTCACAATGTGTATCTTGTAGAATAATAGTTCAGATAAATGTGTACTGAGAAGAAAAAAAACTACATTCGGAGATCTTAAGAAGCTTGTAGGGATATAACGCCGACTCAAAGTGAAGGGCTTAAAGATTGCACGGTCTCGGAAAGTTTTGTGAAAATACAATGACGTCGATGATATAATCATCGATGTGTATAGAAGACAGAGTTGTAACCAAGTCATTTTTTTTTTCAAGTCATGTCAAGTCCCAAGTCAAATTTTAGCAAGTCAAGTCAAGTCTCAAGTCAATTTTTTTTTCAATTTGCACCCATCTTTATATCATAATGCTTCTGCATATTTCCCCGATTTTTAACAGTAATTTTGATTGACCAATAAACTATAACAAAACTTTATTTGGTTGTACTGCGACGACCACAACCGGCGTTTTCTACATTACGGTCCAAAAGATAATTTTTTGGCATAATTTTTATTTTTATTTGATGTAATCAAATTTGGTAAAAGCATTTCTCGTGTCAATATTAATCAAACTAACGTCACAGCTCGAGGGAAGTTTACCTATTTTAAGGGCCAACATCACCCTTTTTCGTGATTTGTGATGTTGTCCCCAAATTTGAAGTTGTTCACCTCAATACGCTCAAAAGAATACTTACGATCATGGGCGTAAACCCCGGGGGAAGGGGAGGATAATCCCCCATATTTTTTGACCGGGTGGATGGGCCGCTTGATCATCCCCGCAATGTTTGTGGTGAGGAAACCCCAAAATGCCGATTTGAATATATATCTTGTGAATACAAAGTATGTAAAGTTCAGGGGTCATAAGTGCACAAGTTTTCTAACTGCATGTACAGTTGTATCATAAACAACAACCCCTAGTGTTACGTTGTATCCAGAGCTCCCCCCCCCCCCCCTTTGTATTTCCCCGTTTTTGGCGGGATGGTCATTCCCAGGACCCCAACACCCCACTCGCCGACACGGATTTACGCCATTACTCATAAAGTGAAGTTAGAAATGCTTTGCATCTTTATGCAAGAACTGTCAAAAACATAATCGGCACTTTCTGGACAGACAAAATAAAAGATGGGATTGGTGCTGTCTTGGGGGAAAAGGAAACCTTTCTCATTCGCTCATGGTTTATTTGGGAATACATTGAAAACTTACATATTACTTGGCGATGTACTTGCTATTGTTAGAAATCGTTATTTATCGTGGTCGTTTACTGTGAGTCTATGCAAATCTTTAAACTGAAAAATGGAATGACTGCTGAGTAAAAGCTAATTTTATGTGCGAATATTTCATTCACTGATAAGAACATGCAGACAAAGGCGCTTTCAGAATTCCGATTGTGGTAAGATTCCGGAAAATATGGAAAGAAAAAAAATTCGGATTTACAATTGTAATCCTTTAACTTACTGCGTTGCACTTGTCAGTCGCATAACAATTTCTGTTAGTGTATCGTATAAGTGGGAACAATTTGAAGGGTTGTTATTGACCGAGTCTGAAATAATGAACGGTACACACACATTGTTTCATTGGAATTTTAAAAGGCCGTCTATTGGGATTCATGGCCTTATAAGTAAATGCAGCACAATTCAGTAGGATGGCCGGAAAAAAGGGAATGACTGTTCAGTTAATATCTGATTTCCTTCGGACGTCAGGCATAGCTGAATGCACCCACCGCTTAATACTGTAAAAGAACCAACAGAGAGAGAGAAAATGTGTGAATCAAATTAACTTGCCTGATGTTTCAATTATGCGGGTGCTTTTGCAACTTTACAAGTCGAGCTTTGGGGAGAAGGCAACAGAAGACAAGGGGACTTGTGTCGTATAATGAGAAGAAAAGCGGACGAGTGCACCATGAATAAATATGTGAATATTGTTTTTCCAATCCACATAGACTCTGCAAACCTTTCTTTTAGAATGAACAGACTCTATAACAAACGAAAATTATGTATCATTTCGATAAAGGCCTATTTTGATTTGAGTTACCTTGACATAGAGTAGACGGTTAGGTGTTCCGTTGGGGTCAGAGACAACGCCTGGTGTAGCGTTGTTTATTAGGGCGTTCTTGACCGATGACGGTGTGGCGTTGCTGTTTTGACCAAACTCAAGCGCGGCAGCACCTGTTAAAAGTAATAAGCTTAGATTCGTAAAACACTTAGATAATGATTGTTTTTCGAAGGTTGAAACAAAGCATAACTAAGATTTTTGTGCTGATTTTAAAAATGCCGATCTATGTCAAGGGAGATGGTTCATTGTGTTTGAATTAGCTGTTGTGCCTAAAAAAAAAAAAATTTAAAAAAAGGCCAATATATAATAAAGTTTCAAAACACTTTGATCTTAGTTTAAAACGCTAAACATTATTATAATAACTGTTAACTTCAAATGAAACTGTAATTTAAAAAATAATGAAGTTTGCAGGACGAACCTCCGCGAACGAACGTGAAACGATCGCTTAACAAAAACTCAAATTTCTACTTATGAACCGCGTCACGTATCGTCAAAGGGTGACATCCCCCTCCTGAAGTTTGCCCAACGTCGTCAATTTCAATTTCTAAAAATATTTTTCATAGTTACAGGGTGAATGTTAGCACCATTTTTTCCCCTCACTTGTGTATAAATGCATGTTCTGACGTAAAACTGTTGTAATGTCAACTCAATAACCCCTCACTAAGTCAACGATAACCAGGTGTCTACTCTCGTCATCTTACCTGTTACGTGAGGGCAAGCCATTGAGGTCCCAGATTTGTAACTAGAACCTGAGTTACTGCTTGTACTGTATTTAGCACTCAAGATGCTGACACCAGGTGCGAAGATATCAACGCAGGACCCGTAGTTGGAGAAATAGGCCCTCTTGTCGCTGCTGTCTGTAGCACCAACTACGATCAGCTGAGAGAGTAATATGCCCGGTGAAATTTGTCAACTTGGGCTAATCATTTTCTTTTCAGCGGTTAAGATTGCTGAAACGCCATTCCAGTCAATCATAGTGCGAATTGTCGAAGAAAAAAGTCGTTCTAAAATCGAATAATTCCTTGCAATCTGGTCCTATAATTCGTTTCGTAATTATAAAATAAGTTAATGGTTTGTGTTCCAAACTACTCACTTCGTTAATATTTTGAGGGTCTCTGTTGCATGCGTCAGCGTTGTCATTGCCTGCTGCGTGTGATACTAGGTAGCCATTATTCCACAAATCTTTCACTGCAGTGTTGATGGAGGGGCTACTGGAGAACCCAGAGAGGGAAATGGACAGGACTCCACCGGCTGAGCCACCGTGGTTTTTTACAGCGTCAAATCCTGCAGAAATATGGAAAGAGTTTGGCAGAGCGGATCTACATTGTATAACAGTTTCTTGTTTTGATTAAGTAGATCGGGTTTCGATTGATTGTAATTGGTGTGCTTACCAGACCACATTCATGGGAATAACATTCCAGCAGGGTTCTTTTCTCCTAACTCAACAATTCTCTTTTTTCTTATTAGCTATATTTTGTGCCGATATCCGTCCGCTATTTTTTCTGAATTTCGTGTTAAACTTGAGACAAAAACTGCTTTCGGGCTATTTCAATCAATCTTTTTTTAAGGAAATAGTACCGAAGATGCACCAAAAAAAATCTGTTGATGATCATCAACCATGAAGTTTTGCACAACTGAAAACAATCGGGGAAAGTTTATAGTGCCACGTTGGCGACTCCAGTGCAGTGCACTAGCCACACAATCATTAGTACGGCAAATTACCGTCTTCAATTCTGCCCATACCCGAAAATGTGGGTCCTCATCATATTTACTTTAACGAAACGTTATTTTCTCAGTTGTTTGTCGGCTGGGAAACGGTGGAACGGGATTGGTGTTTTTTTTTCAATATCATAACGGAAGTCGTTAGAGCACGCTGGCACGCAGCATTCAGCCAATTTGCTTAGAACTCACACGTAATGCACTGTTTGCTGTCCAAGCCTTCGTTTGGTGTTCAACATGATGGCGCGTGAATGAAAAGACGATGGGCATGAGGGACGTTTTGTCAATGAAGTGCCCCTGAGATTACTGTACGTGACCACAAAGATGGGCCAGACTTAAAGGGAGTCAGTAGCGGTTCTGTTCCTCGCCTTCCACCGCTGTGACCCGTGTTTGTGTATTGGGTTTTAGTCACTGTCTGATTCCTTGGCTTTCCTCCAGAATATTCTTAGGGGTTTTCCCTCCACCTCTAAGACTGTAATTTCCTTTCATTGTCTTCTCTCCACATGTTTCTACAAGCTCGCAAGCTACAGTGCCAAGGGCGCGTTTGAGGATTCTCTGGTTTCATTACAACATCCTTCGGAAACTGACTAATAACTCCTAATGGGGAGCTACAGCACACGCACTAAGATCACCGACCCTGGCACTGTACTACTCCTCTGCAAAGTGGGCGTGCCCTGTCTGGGGAAGATCACCTCATGCCAAGAAGCTCGATACTGTGTTGAATAACACCTGCCGCTTGATAACAGGTTGCCTCAAACCAACCAACAACAGCAACATTATGCACCTCCTCACTAGTATTGCTCCACCTGACATCAGAAGGGAAGTTACCAGTTGAGTTGAGATGACCAACTCGCCATCTCCTTTATGGACGCCAACCTCTAATAACTGAAGTCCTGGAGGAGCTTCCTTAGTTATGTCGAAGCCTTGACAACATCCCGGGAAGAAACAAGAATCAACCTCTGGAGAGAAAGAGTCCAAACAACCCTCCTCCAACTGACATAAAAATCCCTCCTGCTGAAAACCTCCCTCCTGGTGCAGAAGCAAAAGGGATTGAGTGGAAAACTCTCAATCGCCTGAGGACAAAAACTGGTAGATCCAAAGCTACAGTGTACACTAGCCCTATGGGGTTACACAAGACCGGCTCTAACATCTGTGAGTGCAGAGAAGCAGACCACACCATTGATCACTGCCTCAAATGCCCACTACTACCCCACCCATGCAGCTCCAGAGACTTCGCGAACTACACCATGAACGCAAAACATGTACAAATGGAAAACGATCGTGTGATGCTTTGAAGATACGAAAAGAAGAAGTTTGCCAGAGGTAAAAAATAATGCAATTGAAAAAGACTTACCATTAAGAATTGTGCTGAGATAACAAGATGGATCGCACACCTTTACACTGAAGATGTTTGCCTGACGCGCTAGACCGAATGTGTTACCCGCTGCTGTCCCAGCGCAGTGCGTACCATGCCCGTTGTTGTCTGTTGCGCCGAAGAGCAGCGAAGCTCGTCCACCGAAAGAAGTGTGAGAAGTTTGTACTCCGGTATCCACGACGTAGATATTCACTCCTTTACCTTGGACTGAATAGAACAGGATGAAGAGGTCAGATTAACCATTATATGGTAGATGCGGAAGATTTTACGGATATGTTTACGGATATGTTTACGGATATGTTTACGGATATGTTTACAGATATCATCGGGCATATAGAAGGATATATTAATTTCACCTTTTGAATTAGGAGGGTCCCGCTTCTAACTCGAACCTGAGGCCAGCGGGACATAGTTACGCATGCGCTTTTGCGACAGTACAATTTATGAATAGTAATAAACACAACACATTCCGAGTTTTAAAGGTATAGTCCATCATTTGTAATTTGTGCATTTTGTTCGTTTGAAGCAACAAAAGTGTTCAAAATCTAATGAAGGATACTGAACAACTAACCTGATAAAGTTTCAGCTCAGCTTCAGCTGTATATTTTGAGATAAACAGCATTCTAGGATCTCGATTTCAAATCAAAAGCTGCTGAATCATGTTTTGAATTGGGCCTGAATTCAGCGTCCGAGACACGTTCTCACTGAGCCGATTGCAGCCACGCGATGTTGCGCACCGATTCGACGCATGATAGCAGCCTCGCGCTTTGCCGAATAAAAAAAACGAATTACTAACGGAAATTTCCAAACGGTGCGTCTTCACCGTTGGAAAGGCCTTCTTTCGTTGATTTCTTCAAAATGACAGATTGCCAGAGAGAATAATTTCACAGAGAGTTTAGTCCCCTTACTATCTTTCAACCAAGTATGCTTGTCAACAATAATTACGTCAGTTACTTTTTGGATAGTTGCAAATGATGGACTTTAGCTTTAAACGAGTGTGTACGTGTGAGCTGTGTGCAGATGTGCATGATGTGCTTGTGCATGAATATGCTCATAAGTGCGAGAATTACGGTAGAAATGTTGAAAACCCTGTTACATATATTTTTTTGCCTTGCCTATACCATTTCCAGCCGTTAGTAATGCCCTCGGATTTTGAGCCCAACTGTCAGCATAACTACATGAAATACAATGCGTAGTCTATGGATTCCACGCTCGTTTCAGACTTACACGGTTGAACCACTATCTGATCAGGAAAATATGCGACTGGAATAGGACTAGTGCTCCAACGTTCGATTTGTGAGGACAGCATTTGGTATACGCTGAAATTCTTTCGGGCGATAATTAAACGGAAACTATTAGTTTGCCAGATATAGTTGTGTGAACGTTTTTATTCTACTTTTAACGATCTTTCCAAATAATATTACCATTACGTCAAAAAAAAGGGGCTAAAAGGGTGCATTGTGACATAAAGTCACCTTTTAATTAATGATTAAAACTTTTCCCGAATGGGGTGAACTCTCCGCGGCCTTTTAGCTGGAACTTACCATTATCATTGTAGGTGTAGTAGTAATCAGTTCCTGTGCGACTATCCACGCGGTCGATGCCCCACGACGGGTTATATTGATTGCCAGCAAGTGTAGTGATGCTGTCTTGTTCTATGTACTCAATGCCGTCAATGGAGCGGATCTGTACACATTTTGAAGAATTTAGCAGTGGTCATTTTATGGAAAACAGTGGTCATTTTATGCACAATTGGTTCTCTTTCTCAATTTTGTGTTGACTGATTCCAGCCACACGTGGTGAGTGGCAACCCTGTCTGTGTTTATACAAGTTTTGTGACAATTAATCCCCTGATCGATTGTGCCTCTCTGCGTCTTGGTTCAAGACGCCAATGTCGATCTTGTCCTGTCCTTCTTACATCAGACATCTATGATTAAATAATCCCCATGCACGTCTTAACACAGTCGAGTGATTATAAATAGCAAACTATACCTACCCAACAAATACAACAAATTCTTTATGATTCTTGAATGGCAAAATACAAAGTACCAACGTAACAGGGATACAGAAGGTATACCCTTTGGATCCTAAAGGTAATAGAATGACCCACATGGAAGCAAAATGGCAAGTTGGCGAGGCTGATTTGCCTATTAATTGACCAGCAAACATTTTGGCACAAGACCGATACGTTTCTCTCTTGGAATAATTATTATTAATTATTTCTGGGAATAAAACCAAGGATTCCTCGAAAGCGCCCTAGGCACTGTAGCTCGCAAGCCTGAGGAAACCGGTAGATAGAAGACAATGAGAAGCAATTACAGTTTTAGAGGTGAGAGGAAAACCCCAGCAGAATATTCTGAGGAAAATCCACGGAATCAGGAAGGGACTGAAAACCCAATCCACATACTGGCCCAGGCGGGATTCGAACCCGGGTCACAGCGGTGGAAGGCAAGTGAAGTACCAGTACGCCAATCTGACTCCGTTATGTAATAACGTCGAATGAAAGTGTACGTGAAAAATAGCGATGAATAACTTCTCTGAAAGTTTGTTCTTTGTCAGCACCCACGTTATGTAAACATTTAACGCGTTAAACTAAATAGGTGTTTTCTGAGAATCCAATCCTACTTTTAACTTATCCCCATGTATATTCATTTCGCTGATTCCGAAAATTAAAATTTGAACAACGAAAAGCGTTCATTACGGCATGAAATTGCCTTGGAAGTTTGCGAAACACTCTGCTACGTCGCCGACTTCGGCTTCAATTTCTGGCTTCGGAATTATTTGAAATAATTAAATATGAAATGGAACACTCTAAATATTTGCTTTATTTGATGAAGGATGGAGAAGTCCTCAATTTGGTTTCTGTCCTCGATTTATCGATGATGTTGCACGTAGGCCTATGTGTCCTCGATTTACACCATAATCACGCAGACAGTCGTGTTCACACTGTCAATCGTGGACGTCCTATTGTCCCTCTATTGTCCCTCTATTGTTTGTACTACTAACTTTTTAGGAAGACTGCCATGTGTTATGAACAGCTTACTTCATTAATAAGGCGTGCTGGAATCTTCAGAGTGAGGACAGGCAAGACATTACGGATTTTGGTCAATGATGGAGTTGCTAGATCCATATTGGAGAAGCGGCTCAAAATATCAGCTGCAACTCGGTCCAACTGGTCTGAATCCTGGTAAGAAACATAACATGAAATTTAAGATTTATTGGTGTTAAATGCTATCGCCGTAAGCTATTAGAGAGGCGTAACGGAAATCATTTCACTGGAGTGCAACGCACTGAGTTTTTCCCCCGGAAAATCAGTTTACTTGGCAAATTATATCGGTATATTTCTTTCAAAGCGACGATGTTGATTAAAACCGGTTCCTACATAATTATTGGTTTTACATGCTTCACAGTGCCCCTCTTCATCAAAATAGGCTTTTTAATACTAATAGGTCTTGAAAATGAAAAAGTATAGGTTTATAAAGGTTTGATAGGTGCCAAAATATAAGCATTTATAGGTTTTTAGGGTGCATAACTCTGCAATTTTGCAGCACGAGGTTGCAAAAATACAGCGAATTGCTTACCTCCAGTTCCCCACACTAATAAAGTTATCTAACACCAATTTCATGCAAACTGCCCAACTTAGAAATGTGGTCATTTTAGCGTCATAACTAAACAGTGTGCCAAATGGAGTTTTGAATTTAAAAAGAAATGTTTTATTTTATTTTTTAATTGTAGGTTATAGAAGTTACTTGAATTATTTAAAAAAAGAAAAAGTAAAATTAAAAACAGTTGAAATATAGGTTTTTATTGGTTTTAAAGATTTCGCTGTGAAGCCTGGTTGTACTCACCTTGATCTTGACGATCCAGCTGTCAGGTACAGACCGTTGATCGGATGTAATGAGTGGAGCTAGACCAGCACGGGCCACGGCCACGCACAGCAACACTAACACAAACTTCATGATCGAACTTGCTGAAACTTGAATGGGGTCCAAGAATGAATAAACTCATTGTTACCACGATTGCACCTAGCATTGAATTATGTAACACACACAAAACTATATATTTTATTCTGGCTTGAAATCTGTGCCTATTATATGGTAAATATGATTTTGAAGCTTTGCTTGATGCAGTGAGTCTGCTGATGACACCATAACTTGGGATTACAAAATGTACAGGTATCTTTTATTACGAAGAGTATTTTCTCACTACAGTGTTGTTTCTGAAGCAACACCTCTATAGAAAATATTTACAGTCACATGAAAACGTCTGAATGTTTCATCTCGGCACCACGAAATCGAAAGCGAGACCTGGTTTGAGACAAGCAGAAATCAACAAACGTGCAACATACTGGATCGGGTACCTGCAGAATGCGAACATGGAACAATAGCATATCGGATCGATTGCTTCATGCACGGATTAATTAAATCAAGCTTAAACCTTCTTTCTACTTACCACACAATATACTCTCTGAATGTTCAAGTTTCCAAGTGCTCACAATCACTCAAGTCTGTTTCCTTTTAACTATGTTAGTGACTTGCTATCGGCCACTGCAAATATATCAGTGTGAGCAAAACTGGAGAAGACATATGGCGCAAAGATACGAAAATGAGAACGCGTATTTTATCTAGCGGTCGAAGTCGGTTTTGCCAGCAAACAAGTTTATCCACAGATTAGGTGCTCCCAATCTGGACCATTTGAAATAATGACTGTGCAACTTGGAAAAGGTTACCAATTACGTTAGTATTTTCCTGTGAGTAAGTACTTTTGGACTTTTAAGTATACTGTATGTTTTCGGCTTTACAGTGTGTACATGGTGTTGCATTTTCATTGTGTTAAAAATAAACACCTTTACAAAGTTTCAAGCAACCGTTCTGTTTTCTTTCCCAAAACTCGTGGACGACAGATATAAACCTTACGCACAACAGCCATTTGGAGGACAGTGGTTTGGTTGTGCTGATTTGTGCATAAATGTTGTTGCTATTAATTTAAAAACAACAAAGATAATCCAAGGTGGATGTTATGCATCATGGTCAAAGGCAAACTTTTATAATTTGTTTTTTAATTGAGCTGTTTTAACTTATCAATATCAATGCTGATTGCTAAATACATGTTTCATCGTGCTATTTTCCCACCGATTAGATATACGTCGTCTGAAAATGGGTCATATTCGTGAGAAAAACAATTTCATGTGAGGTTGTTTTTTGTGTTTTTTTATCACAACATCCACACGTCAGAAGTTTTATTATTCCAGTCCCATTCTTTCTGTTCTCTTTCTCTTGTGTAAAGTATTTTTCCACGAAGTTATGTCGAGGAAAAAGAGCGCATTTGTACTTCTACACACAAAACTGAAAATTGCCGTGGTCGAATTTTGAGCGCGTGATTGACGCCAAAAATAAAATTATAACGCCAATCAGTACACATAGGGGACGTCTCTATAGTCCGAAGTACCATTGGTCCGAAGTCCCATTGGTCCGAAGTCCCATTGGTCCGAAGTCCCATTGGTCAGAAGTCCCATTGGTCCGAAGTCCCATTGGTCCGACGCCCCATAGGATTAGGGTTAGGGTTAGGGTCGGTCAACCTGAACAAGTGGAACTACACAGTAGTATGTTTCGGACAAGTGATGGGACCAATGGGACTTCGAACCAGTGGGACTTCGGATCAATGGGACTTCGGACCAATGGTACTTCGGACTATCGCGATAGTCCGAAGTACCATTGGTCCGAGACTCAACCGTACACATCCCCCTGCATCAATATTCAATGCACTGTGAGCTCACATGTGAGATGCAATCCTTAAAGGGAAAATACAACATTTGCAAACATCAAAAAATAAAACTACCAAATCATTTTGAAATACCTTGCTGGACTGTTAGTGAATGACAGTGTAAAGCATCCTGGAAAATCATGGAACCTGGTATACTGTCATTTTCAAGAAAAGTGGTATTTTTGTATCAATTTCCAACGCTGATCGGGATCGGCCAATCAGCGTTGGAAACAACTGGCTTTTTTTCAAATACTGGCCCCAATTTATCATCGCACTTGTTTGCAATCGAATACAAACCTATGAACGGGTACGAGCCAGCTAGACTGGTTCCCTGACCTTACAATTCCCCAATGTATGAAAACTGCTCTTTTTCTTCTTATATGGAGTCAGGGAACCAGACTACAGGAAAATGATCGTTTTTCTTGGTTTTTATAGCATTTTCGAACCCAAAACCTCAAAAAAGTCAGTGTAACTATATTTGCTATATATTTCCAACCCCCCAATTCCATCCATTTCTGAAAATTACAGCAAAAGCAAATGATGTATATTCCCTTTAAATCGGAGGTGATTAATCAAATTCTTATAAAAGAGGTTGGTTTCCTTGAACGGGGTTATACTGCCCATGTGCAAACCTTGCGAATAGTCATGAAATTCCCTTTTAATTCTTAGCGCGTTCGAGAATCATTTTGTGAATGTTGTGTTTGAAAACAGAGCTAGGGTACAACGTACCATTAACTTCCCATTCCCTGACTCCCACAAAATACCATGTATTAGCATGAATAGCGGGCGCAATTTCTATAGATTTTACGAAAGTATTCCCCTTAAAAAAATCTGCCTCTTTAACGCCCCAAATCCGAATTTTCCACAGAATCATAGGATTTCAGCGTTTCTTGATAAAAGATGCTTAAACATTGATGCGATTAACCTACTTTGTTTTCAGCCTCCCACCCCGCCCTTTTAATGACAACTAATCGCAAGAATTAATGTTATTATGCTTATTTGAATACAAGTTACCAAATCACTGTTGTCTCCGTGTAAGTCCAGCGAAGTGGTTTTTTTAAGTCCAGTGAAGTGTGTTTTTTTTATTACATTTGTCTGCTCACCAAGGAGGTGAAAATTGCAGTCAAATGTGGGTTTCCTTCTTCTTGCACCACCCTTAATTATATGCGTTAATTCGCAAAAAAAAACCCTATTGCGTTGTTTCGCAAATGTTTTGCGTTCAGTTTAGCATGAATTTATTTTTACCGTCAGTTCAAACCTAGCATCACAATAATTGACAATGATTTTCATCAACAGCAAATAAATGACAATGTTACAAAGGTGTAAATTATCAAATTATAGTCCTGTTCCATCGTTTATTTTGTTTGTCAATAAAGTGCATGGAAAGCGTATGAATGAGGTTTGTACGACACACTAAATTGCTTCTTTTTTCCCCTTTAAAAATCCTCATTGTTCCTTCCATCAATGCAACGGCGTAGCCACGGCGTGGGGGCCGTGGGGGGCGCACGCCCCCTATAAAAAGTTCGCCCCCCCCCCCCTGGAAATTTGACCAGCCGTATGAGTTACCGTGATTAGCTGGAAGAACGTTAAGTCCCATTTTCCCTGATTTTGTGCGTATTTTTCAACAAAACCCTTTCTTTTCGCGTGTGGTTGTTTATTTAAACGTCCGTGGAAAGCAAATACCGGTAGTTATTGTCTAACATTAAACATCCATATAGGTTTTGAACAGCGCCCCATGGGCAGATGGTGTCCAGCCCGCCCCCCCTCCCTCCCCCCCCCCCCCCCAGCCCCCCATTTGATTTTACGGAGGTCGGGTGTCCAGTGAAAAAACTCTCTACCTTTCAGCACAGTTGACATTTTTGGGCGCCCCTCCATTGTAACCTTAAGTTAACTAGCCAGTTTGACGGTGAAATGAGCCCAACCTACGAGTCACAGAGGTTCAAAGTGATAACCCTTGAGGACCAATTGCAAATTAAACAAATTAAAAAGGCACAGGTGATATGCGTATAAAAGCTCTGTTATATCAATTATAATATTCCTGAATCTGGAAGCCATAAGTGACTCAAAATAATACCTTGTGATTTTTTTTCAAAACCAAAGTAAGAGACGCCACTTATGTTCTGAACGTAGGTTGCAAGTTTCCACTCCCGTCATTTTTTTTATCAACTGTAACTATTCAAATTTAAGGAGAAATGAAATCTAAAGTGAAGCAGAAATTCAAGACACTGCATCCTAACAATGCTACGAAGTTTCTCAGCTACGGGACGTAAGAGGAAGATAGTGGATGGTGGTTGATGGAGGATAGAGCGCCGGTGAATCACAGGGAGGTAATCACCAAGGTGTAACGGGACGAACCTTCCTCCACTCCGCAATGACCGGGTTAGACACCACACGATCAAAGACAGCCTTCAGCACAGGGAACTTGGCCAAGGAATTGGGAAAGTAGACGTTGGCAACTTCCACCATAGAGGCGAAATGGAGGTCAGCCGCTGTCAGCTGTACGAGTAGAAAAGGGAAAAGGCATCGTGAATCGGCGCAATTATCCAACAGTCAACCCGGCCTTCCACCGGACTCCACATCTGACGCTGGTCTTTGTTTCCTCTTTAATACGCGTACTTTGTACTATTATTGTTGATAAGTTTCAATGCGAAATCCTGTCCTCAGTGAGGGCGCTTTTGCAGGGGTATGTACGTTGCGTTAAAGGGAATGTACAACATTGGCTTTTGCTGCAATTTTCAGAAATAAAAGGATTTGGAGGATTAGCATGTTTTAGCAAATATTGTTACGATGTACGCACGAAAGGGAATTGCCATAATAAACCTAGAGGGGTGTTTTTGTTGAAAATAGTTGGAAATGTATTATGTTTGATTTGTTTTGACTTTTGGACCGAAACGTTTTCGGCTCGGGTAATTATCAGCATCCAAACTCCAACCGGTCTTAAACATGTGTTTAAAATCGGCCAAGCACACATTAATTTTATTACTTTAGTCAAAGGTCATAGATTGGCAGCGCAAAGCTTGAAAGGAAGTTATTTCAGACACAAACTGGGGTGCACTTTAAGATATCAAATCGACAATCTCGTTGGGCAGTTTTTGATGTACCTTGTTACTAACGAAGTAGTCCCCTGCGTGCATGTGCTCCAGGGCTCGCAATCGCTCCAGACGCGAGTAGATCAGTGGTACCTCAACTTCTTGGAAGTTCTTGGTATGCTTCGCCTGCAAAAAGAAAAAAATAAACGAGAAATAAACTTGCTTTCGGGCAACTTCAGAGAAAAGTGGGCGAACGAGAATCTGAAAAGATGAGTGAATGGATGCAGTGTTATCTGCAAACAGCATCAAATTCCTTCTGGTAACGAAACCGAAAGTTCCTTAAAACCTGAAGAAACCTCGAGAGGGTGAGAGAAGGTGTTGGAGCGATTTTTAAGTTGTTACTATATGTTTTTTAAAAGACCGCTTCTTTGCAAGGAGAAAGATGGGTTTATCTCATGCGAAGCCTTCGAGTGCAATAGCCGAGTAATGCAGCAGTCGTCGAATGTATACAGTCGTCGCATGCAACAGCCGTTATGTCGCCTTACCTTTTCCTCTTCGGTGGTGGAGAAGAAGATGAGATCCCATGGCGGTACTACGTCATCAGCGGTGTCAATTATCATGTCGATGCACATACCTTCAAACTCATCTTTGCCATAGAGATCTACGATGAAATCAATCAGAATCAATGGCAGATCACACCTTATTTATGGATTATTTGCCAATCTTATTATTAGACTTTTTGTATTGTTTACTTGTGCCAACAATGCAGATTGTGGCGCTTAATATATTTAAAACTTGTGATTAATACGGAACGCCCTTGTTTTAAATTTCGAAAGTTAAGTAGACCTAAGGTGGTAAGCCTAAGGTGGTAAGGTGGTAAATCAAGGGTTTATATAAGTTAACTGCCCCAGGTTCAAGGTACTGCAGAGTTTTCAACTTTAAGGCTAGAGTCCCGCCCCGTTCGGCCCTGGTCGATACACCACAACAAAACTCGGACTCATCTCGATTAAAGGTTTCTCAAAATAGTTTCTAGCCATTGATGAAGCCGAACTAGAGACGAAGACGAGGTTTGGAAAAATCCCATAAATGATATATTCGAATCTGAAACGCCCTCTCACGGCTTCAACTTCAATGGATACGTGAGTGTTGCTTACTGTGTTTTCTGGCGAGGTACATGATCATCGATTTGCTCTGCAGGATTATCTTGCCGTCTATCTCCAGCATGGGAAGTTGAAATGTCGGGATTGCTAAATGTAAAGAAAATTTGCATTGCATAAATTCCTCTTTTGTAATGGTGGATCACAATTAAACCCATCCCCATATCAATGCATTTTACAATATCATGTGGGCCTGTTAGGTGTGATCCATAATTATAAACAATTTCAAAAGCGTATACAAAAGTACAAAACGTACTCTTTTTGACAGTCCCCCTCCCCCCCTCCCGAAAGAGTACTTTCAAAAATATTGATTTTCAAAGATATCTGGAACAGTCATGCATGGTTCCCCGATTAATTATGGACTGGCGTTTTGAAGATAGGCTATAAATAAATAAGGGGTGGCATGGGTGGCTTGTGCGTAAAGCGCTCGCCTCTCACCAAGGTGACCACGGTTCGAATCCTGGCTGCGGATCACATGTGAGTAGAGTGTGCGACAACCTCGTCCCCAGTGCTTACTTTATTTCCAACCGTGTTTCCAATAGTAAACCCTGGATAGGAAACTTTCTTCCTGTATCCTGATTGGATACCGCAATTGGCTAGTAATGGATTTTTATCGTGTACTTGGTGCTATATTATTCACAACGTGCAGTACGTGTTTTCGCGGTCATTCGTCCACGCCTTCTCGAAAATACTAATTTCCTTTCCAATTTGCTCATATTAATATGAAATATGATACTGCATGTTGTCTCGATAAGATCGTAACAGTTTGATTTCAAAAATCGTGTTTTCAGAACTCACGCCGTGCTCGCGCTGCTACGAATCGACTCTGTTTTTACCCCAGACACCACATACAAAAACAAACGCTAATGTGTAACGCATAGCCAGGCACCAGACTGTTCCTCATTTGCATACGTGTGCAAAAATCTTGCACATGCAAATGATCCAATACCAGGGTGAGAGAGCAGGTAGTGGTGGGCGCGTACTGCTCGACACCCTGGGTACGAGGTTGAGTGTGCGAGGGTTTTTCTCCGGGCGCTCCGGTTTTCCTCCCTCCAGTAAAATCAAACATTTTCGATCTCAGGCTGTGCTCCGTGGTCATAAATTATAATGGGTCGATGTGGCCGGCAGCCATAGGCGCCTTATACATGTACATTCCAGCGGCCCGACCACATTGTAGCCGCGTCCTTCGCAATTCAGCATACCAGCTGCGGGTAAGGATGATTTAATCTCCCAATTTATAAGTATTATTATAATTATAATTATTATTAAAAGTGGCGACTGAAAAGGGCTGCATTAGGCCAAAAAAACTTTTCTTTAAATGTCTTTAAAATTGTGCAGCAGCAGGATTCCAGTCAAACCAGTGAGTTTGGCGGTTTTGAGACATTGAATAAAAAAAGTTTTCATTTCGCCGACGCGCATGGCTACGGCGACGCGCGCGCATATCCCATACCAGAAACCGGAGACTTTTTTTTTTTGGCCTTAGCCTAACTATCTTTGTCACCGGCGTGTAGCATGCAAGGAGCTGAATAACAAATAAGTATGGCTGCACCCATGAATCACGAGCTGCCGGTGTTCGCAAAGTTCAGGCGTGGGGGCTTATGAAAGATCTTCTGAAAGCCTGTTACAAAATAATACTGGACCGAATATTGACCGAAATTTTAAAAGCGTAGGCTGTACCCACTTACCCCCTCCCCGAGTGTACGTTTGCCGTTTGTTACGCTTTTGACAACGTTGATGATTATGGATGACCCCTTACTGTCTCCCATTTATTCTGTATTTTCCCATCGCTTTCACATTGTCAATAATCACTTGCATTAAAAAGTGCTTTTTAAAATTATTTCACGTGGGCTATGACGAACGAATAACCCATATATTCAACTTAGTTTTGAGTCTACTTTAACAAAATGGGGAAACGGTTTTCTGTTTAGTGTAGGCCTAGGCCTCGGCTGCCTATGAATGTACGCTTCGGATCACCAGCCATTACAGTGCATTGAGTAACAGGTTCAAGGCATAAGCGTAGCAAACAAAATCAATGTATGCTGAATCATAATAAAATATAAATATTATACCAATTTACCATGATTCAGCATACATCTTGTGTTGTATTCAGCAGACATCGCTTTTTGGTTTTTCCGGAACACTTCCGGGAAGCTTTTTTTTTTAATCTCCCATTTTTTAATGGGAGACTTTTGAGACTTTAGTAGTAGCAAACACACCGGTCCTTTAATGTTCGATTGTTTGCGTCATATTGAGCATGCGCACTTTAGCTTAAACATGACGTAAACAATTTCAAATGACAGGTGTGTTTGCTGCCACCAACTTCTCAAAAGTCTGCCATTGTGTCTCCATCAATGGAGAACGCCACGGTTTTACTCATTGATCTCCATTTATACAGACTGTAAAATGGAGATGAATGATTCTACTACACCAAAAGCGCGCAATGTAATAGGGAAAAAAAACTCAAAATCGGACAGAGAAATCGCCACCCGGTGACGCTCAGGAGCAAGGCGGTAATGTCTTTTTTACTGGAAATTAACGATTACGACCTCTAGGACAATTTTCTTTCTTTTTTGAAGGACGCCCCACAGAAAAATGATGTGATACCCCCTGTTCCTAATCTATTGCCATGGGCGGATCGGGGGGGGGGGGGCAACGGGTGCCATTGTGTCCCCCCCCCCCCAAAAAAAAAAAAAACACCCCAAAGTTTTTAAGTGGCCTTGCAATAAAGGCAGGCACTGCGTGCACCATCATCTTTTCCATCAAAAGATTTGGTTAAAGTGGTCAGAAATATAGCCATTCGATCGTTTCACTCCACTAGTCACATTAATTGTATTGCCTAATATCCACCTACACGGCATAACACTAACAGGTACCATTATGTACACCCCCCAGGTACGGTGCATAGAAAGAAAATTTTCAAGGTTGGTCCCATAATTGCCCCATTTTTTTTCGCCGGCCATTGAAAACTCATAAGGGTCGGTGGAGGTGGGGAGGGGTGGCTGGGAAGTCATTCGACGATTGGTGCGCTGTTCATAATACATATACACGCACACAAATCTACAAAAAAGTACATGTACAGCCCCGTTCCCAGCAGTTTCTGATGTTACATTTTATTAATTTGTTTATATTTATTTGAAATGCACAGTGTCATTCCCCATTAAAGTAGGCCTACAAATAAATAATCCAGGCGACAAGAAATTTAACAAACGTCCGATAAGAAAAGAAAGCTACACCGTACAGGACCATGAAGAGGCCTGGCAAGGTTTTAAAAGGCCGAAAGGAGTAGAGAAGTGAACTACATGGGACAAAATACATCTAGTTATCAAAACTGCCAACAGAAATTTTAAAATTCCATAATTCCAGATACATGTAGCCGATTAAAAAACAAGTGCGAGTGCACAATAAGCTCTGGCGAAAATTGCGACGTTGATGGCATATATGGCCCACCATACGTTTGGTAATTTTTCGGGACAGACAGAGACCATCCGACCGACCGACCATCCGACCGACCACCCGAAGTGACAAAGCTTAAAATCGCACCCCGCCCACCTTTCGGGGATACATTTCTTACTTCTGGATACCGTCCACTGGATGTCAGATCTTAATTTCATTTTTTCAAAGGAGTTCAGTTCTTCAAAGTTTCTGCATGCACCAGAGAGTCAAGCAGCAACGATTGGAATTGCAAGCCGAAGATTGTGTCAATTACAACTGCAGTTAGCTGTGCAAAAAGCGCAGGCCTAAATAAGTGCGTACTTACTTGGTTTCACAGCCGGCCAATCGCTCATCTCATATCGCTTATCCTCGAACTTCACTCCAGCCAGTTTGAAAATATAACGGATGGTTTCGGCCCTGCCCCTGCCATCGAAATAGACCAGCTTGTAATTGGACATTTTGCTTGGAAGCTGCCGTTTGCAGAATATGAAATGTCGGTTTGTCACCCAAGGTCGAGAGTGACACGTACTGGTCTATGCATGGTTACTCGGATCTACGCACACTGGTACCGAAAGGCATACATGTACAGTACATAACCCACGCCCGGATGAACCTGCTTTGGGGGAAGTTGTAAGCCATTAGACCACGGTCCCTGGAAATAATGGACAAGGATAGACTTGAAACAGTCTACTGATTTGGGATATTTTTTCGACACAAGATAAATTATCACATTCGACTAGTCAAAAGTTGCGAGACTGTCGCATGCTAGGTTGGTCGCCTGAAACAAATAACCTTCCATACACATTATAATTATACTGTGCACAGCTTGGGGCAAAACTGTATCATCGTAACTGTTACCAGAAGCACGTCACCTATCAAAACGTAGAAGTACGGGAGCGAGATACATACTAGCTTTCACGTGTGCACATTAGTTAAAAAACAAAATCATTAAACACGTCTGAACCGATTTCGGTGATGCCTGTATTTTGTTCTGGATTTGAGAATTTATGGACTAGAAATAATGGCATCAAAAACTTGGATTTTTTTTCGGCAAAGCCGTATTCTTTATGTCTTTTTAAACAAATATTTGAGGTCAAGTTGGGGACAAAAGGATGTTACTTAGTTTTGATGCGGGAAAATATTGTTTGCTTACGTGCTGTCTGACTCCGCGTCCGCATTTTGGACTTCGGCATTATAACCTAATCCAATCTCCGTCGATTATGTACAGGTCTACAACAATAACGTTATCAATCAACTATACTCGCTATGTTTTTCCTGATGCGATCCACTTTATATCCTACTGCGCATTAGTATAATGTAGACTGTGCCGTCCATGTATCACTCTTTCAAATGACAGGATAAATTTAAAGAAAACAAGTGCTCTCTGCGTTCATTAAGTTGTTCTTTTATTCACATTCGGATCCCATAAGATAAAAATACTCTAAGCAACCAAGTTGTCCATCCAACTCCAGTGCAAATGACCAGCAAATTGGGCCATTGGAAAGCATGCATAATATAATTTTTCTCTACTTTCATTGACACCAAATGTACTATTTTTGGTATTTTGATTGATAAATTAGTAATACAGCCATGCCACTTTCATGTCAAATACCTACAAGTTACACAACTAAGGAATTGTATTACGTGGTTTTGCTGCTTTAAGAAATATCCAATTGTAGTAAAATCTAACGTGTGCGAAGTCGTGTTTTGCCAGGTCCATAAGAACCACGCACTATTCAAGCCTTTCTATGATAAAAATGTGCATCTAATAGGTTCAAGTATTTTCAACCAGGTTATATATTACATGTATGCATAAAAGAGTAATTTTCTTTTTAATCTTTAAACCGATTTGTAAAGCTGTTCGTTATATGCGCTGGGTTGGATTTGCAGACTTGCTGCATAATATTGACAATTCAACAACGTGTATGGGAGTCAAGAAATAACAAGATTAGTTGTATAAAAAATAGCAAACTTTTTGCTCAGAATCATCATCTCATAATGACATGATGTAATGTCATATATTATACAAAGTCTTATCTGTGAATCCAATTACAAAATCCGTCTTTACGGAAGCATAAAAAAAAACGATTCCATTTCATGTATGTAATAGAACAATTTTACACTGAATACGTTTCAGCACAGGATATAGCTTGATCAGCATGCGTTATACATGTATAAAAACATAGCAAGGCCCCATTCGCTGTTGCGTTTGCGAAATGATGAATTGAGAAAGCAAGTATCAGGCTGTCCTGTTTCAATTTGATATGATGCTATGACTTAAGATCAACTCATAATTCATGACAGTTGACACATTTAATAAGAATGGTTTCAAAAGAACACTGCCCAAAGAAAACTGATACAAGTGACTGTGTTGCCTAAAGTGTTCGAAGACATAACCCATGTTCAGACATAAAATCAATTTAGGTTTTGCCCTTCACCGACGTATAAACACTCAGTATGTTACCCCTAGAGTGAAAGTTGGAAAAAATCACTCAGATGGGACTCGAACCCACGACCTCCTGCTTTCTGGTGCAGATGTCTTACCACTCGACCACCAAGTTAACGGCATCAGTTGGCTGGTTCAAATCTGATGTACAGAGCAGCGGGTACCACATTATCTATTCATAAGATGGAATGTAGTTATATCTTGATACAATATAGTCCTTATTTTCTGGTGCCAAAAGAATTATTGAAAAGAATTCCTTACGTCAGATATCCCAGTCAAAGGCAATAACAGCAGTGTTGTAGGACTCGAGTCCAACACTCGGACTTGAGTGCTCGGACTTTTGTCCAGGACTCGGACTTTTGTCCAGGACTCGGACTCATGTCCAGGCTTGGACTCAAGTCCAACTCGAGTCACAATTTTGGAGACTCAGACTTGACTTGAGTCACATGCACTCGAGATTCAGAACTCGGACTTGAAATTGAACCAAATGACTCATGACTGAAACTCAGACTCATCCCAAGTGACTCGAGACTAGGACTCTGACTAAAATGCTGATTGCTGATTTAACAGCAATGAGATGTTCACTGTCAAAACATGCAAGAACCATTGTTTAACAACTTCTCTTCTCTCAAAGTTCAATTCTGATTCAATCATCAACTTGAGTCAGTGAAAACATGGCACCTATAATTCAAGTATGTAGCACCTTTGCAAAAGCACCATGAATGCAGCTTATGAATATTCATTCTCTGCTTGTAGTTCCACTTGATTTTGTTTTTGTACAAAACTATGCTGAACAAGCTTCTTTTAGTACTGAGCAACAGGGTCATGATATTCATTTTGAAGTCATCAAGTTCTGAATAACAAATAATAATTGAATTTCAAAATGGTGCTTCCTCATCGTCTGTGATGTGTCTCCTTGGATTACTTTTCTTGTCTTGCCCACTGTCCCGTCGTGGTCTGTATTTTCGGATAACAGACATGTTGCCTTGTTCTTCCATCTTGGCTTCCCAGTCTACCATGGCTGCTTCATAGTCTTGCTTTGTCCTAGCTGCAGATTCATAGTACGTCTGGAAAGAAGATGAAGTGAATCTATGAAAGCGTAGAAAGCGTAGCGATTCATTGATGTGCCAATTATTGCGATATGAGAATGCCACAATACAGCATCAAACTAAAAGCACTCATTTGCTAATCAGAAGATTGCTAGTGTTAACTTAGTCTGAACACAGACTCAAAACGGCATACCATAACAGGCCATATTAAATCTCATGGTGGCCCGTGCATCGATTGTCAGATCGATGTAGGGATCAACCTAATTTAAATATATCTATTTATATCAGGGGAAGTAGGCCAATTAAACTGAAGGGCAGCAACACACCCAAGACGCTTAGCAACCAATGAGATATCAGAAGCAGGTGGCCGTTGCCTGTCCTTATATACATGTGTGTTATGAGATCAGGTCTTTGGTCTGGTGTTATCTTGGCATTTCTTGAGTACATGGCAGCTCTCTTCAGTTGTAATATCCATGCAATCAAACACATGCCACTTGCCTTGTGAATAGGATTACTTTGGGCAGCAGCTAAACCAGACTGTAATAGTGTTAAAGGGGCACTGCGTCCTGAAATCCCCGAAATTGTCATGTTTTGGATTGTTTATTTACCCTATTTCAAACATCTGGTTTAAAGGAAACCAACCTAATAGTGGAGCTGCTTAGGTCCATTTTTGGCCCAAATCGTGCACTTTGTGGTAAAAGCATGAAATTTGGCAGGTGGGGTCCCAATGGGCTAGAATTCATTTTAAGATCGGGACCCATCCTGGATCTTGCCCATTTTGGGGGCGGAGCTTGATTTTTTTTTAAAGGGGGTGCAAACAATACAAACTCATGAAAACTGTATTTAACATCCATTTTCCTTGTTTTTCTATGGTTTGAAATAAACTTAAACATAAAATATAACATTCTAGCTTTCGAACACCAGTTAATTTCCACCCATTTTGTAGGCGTGGACTAAATGTACAAAAGAGGTGGTATATATTAGCAGTTTGGTTCTAATATAGAAAACATTATTCGGTTTGGTAGTAAAATCCTGAAAATTGGCAGGTCTAGTTAAAATGGGCTGAAAATAATTTTAAGAGGTGAACACATCTTGGATCTTGCACAATTTTGGGGGGCGGAGCTTGATTTTTCAAAAAGGGGAGTGCAAAAAATAAAAAACTCAGAAAAACTGTATTTAACATCCATTTTCCTTTGTTCTTCATGCTTGAAATAAACTTTATGAGAAATAACACGTTAAAATTGTGCAGCAGCAGGATTCCAGTCGAACCAGTGAGTTTGGTGGTTTGAGACATCATCTCACATTGAAAGACATCATCTTACATTGCCGACGCGCATGGCTATGGCGACGCGCGCGCATACCAGAAACCAGAGCCTTTTTTGGCCTAATAATCGTATTCTTCGTTTTGTATGAATAAAAAGGAGTAAATGCTTCAGATTTCAAATATGCACTTGTCATTTACAAGGCTGGGTTGGGGCAACCTTGAAATTATAAAGCAAAATAATTCTGCGCAAAAACTACTGCATTTATTAAAGTTCATAAAGTACAAATGATACCATATGTTTGTATGAATAAAGCATGGCATTTGCTTTTTCTACCACTTTCGAAGCATTTACTCGCATCAGTATGAATGAAAATTAAGCAAACACTTTTACTAAAAACCATTTGCTCTTGAGTAAATGGCCTGCAAAATGTAAAGCTTTACATGTTTATAAGTTTGCAGAAAATAAAACTATCATAACCGAAACGGAAAGCGGCACCGGGGAGGGTCACATGCTGGAGGACAGATACAAAAAAAGCGCATCAAACGCGACGAACGCAATGCCGTTTACGTGCACAATGCGCTGTGCATCGGCACCCATGGTCTACATGTGGATTGGGTTTTCAGTCCCTACCTGATTCCGTGGGTTTTCCCCAGACTATTCTTCTGGGGTTTTCCTCCCACCTCTAAAACTGTAATTTCTTCTCATTGTCTTCTCTCTACGGTTTTTTTTTGGGGGTTTGCGAGCTACAGTGCCTGGGGCATGCACTTTTGAGGATCCTTGGTTTCATTACCAGAAAAAAATTATTTATCGTTTACTTCGTTTCGTATGAATATAAAGGAGTAAATGCTTCAGATTTCAAATATGCACTTGTCATTTACAAGGCTGGGTTGGGGCAACCTTGAAATTATAAAGTAAAATACTTCTGCGCAAAAATTACTGCATTTATTAAAGTACAAATGATACCATGTTCGTATGAATAAAACATGGCATTTGCTTTTGCTACCATTTTGAAGCATTTACTCGCATCTGTATGAATGAAAATTAAGCAAACACTTTTACTAAAAACCGTTTGCTAAATTCTGAAAATAATAACTTTTACCCATAAGCTTTTGCTACACTATAAGCGTTTACTTCGTTTCTTATGAATAAAAAGGAGTAAATGCTACAAATTTTAAATATTTACTTGTCATATTTCAAGGTTGGGTTGGGGCTACCTTGAAAATATAAAAGCACAAAATTATAAGCAAAAAATACTGCATTTATTAATGTTAATCGCGAAAAAGTACAAATAATACCATACGGTAGTTCGTATGAATAAAAACTGGCATTTGCATTACTCCCATCTGTACGTTTCGTATGAATATAAAGGAGTAAATGCTTCAGATTTCAAATATGCACTTGTCATTCACAAGGCTGGGTTGGGGCAACCTTGAAATTATAAAGCAAATAATTCTGCGCAAAAGCTACAGCATTTATTATATGTTAATCGCGAAAAATTAATATTAACAAAGTTCATAAAGTACAAATGATACCATGTTCGTATGAATAAAACATGGCATTTGCTTTTACTGGTACTTCCAATTTTGAAGCATTTACTCGCATCTGTATGAATGAAAATTAAGCAAACACGTTCGTGTAGGTTTTACATGAATTAATCCCTAAACCCTATGATCTCAGAATAAATACAAGATTTCTATTGTTTTAGCCACTGTGAACTTGACCCTTGACCTTTCGACCCCCAATGCGATAGGCCTATGACCAAGAACGATCCACAAACCAAATTTGAAGTTCACATGTAAAGTATTTCTCAAGTTATCGCGCTGACAAAATTTCTTTTGTTTTAGCCACTGTGAACTTGACCCTTGACCTTTTGGCCCCAAATGCAAAAGGCTTCTTAGGATTGCCAAGGACAATCTACAAACCAAATTTGAAGTTCATATGTAAAGTATTTCTCAAGTTATCGCGCTGACAAAATTTCTTTTGTTTTAGGCACTGTGACCTTGACCCTTGACCTTTCGGCCCCAAATGCAATAGGTTTTTTAGGATTACCAAGGACAATCCACAAACCAAATTTGAAGTTCACATGTAAAGTATATCTCAAGTTATCACGCTGACAAAATTTCTTTAGTTTTAGCCACTGTGACCCTGACCCTTGACCTTTTGGCCCCAAATGCAAAAGGCTTCTTAGGATTGCCAAGGACAATCCACAAACCAAATTTGAAGTTCATATGTAAAGTATATCTCAAGTTATCACGCTGACAAAATTTCTTTTGTTTTAGCCACTGTGTCCTTGACCCTTGACCTTTTGGCCCCAAATGCAAAAGGCCTCTTAGGATTGCCAAGGACAATCCACAAACCAAATTTGAAGTTCATATGTAAAGTATTTCTCAAGTTATCGCGCTGACAAAATTTCTATTGTTTCAGCCACTGTGACATCGACCCTTGACCTTTCGGTCCCAAATGCAATAGGCTTCTTAGGATTACCAAGAACAATACACGAACCAAATTTGAAGTTCATATGTTTAAGTATTTCTCAAGTTATCCCGCTGACAAGATTTGTCCGGACACACACACACACCCAGGTTTACGTTACATACCTTGTGTGGACATTCCTTTGTTTTCGTGTAGTTAAGAAAACTCGGTACAAAAAATAACTTTACTTAAACTGTGAAAACTCTTTCAACCCAATTTGTTTTCTATGATTCCCTATAGTGTTTCTCTTCATTCTGCTACGGATAAACCTAACCCCAAAATGCCTCTAAACCTGTTTCCAGAAAGGGCAAAACGTTATGTGGACACGGCTTAGTCCACATACATTAACACAACCTGCATTATGTGGACATCTTTTGTTCACAAGTCCACATAGAGAATGTAAGACAAACTCACACACCCACCCACCCACGGAAGGACAAGGCGGAAACAGTATGCCCCTTCGGCTTCGCCGCGGGGCATACAAACGCCTGAAAGGGCACCCCCTAGCACGTCCAAGAAAGTTAGACTATTTTTAATTTAAAAACCATTCATCCAAATTTTACCAAACTTACCCTTAGATATTATATAGAAAAACATAATGACTTTGTGAGGTTTTAGGATCGTGACGTCAGCAAACTGGACATTGCTAACGCATTATTTAAGAAGTTACTGTAATTTCTCGAAAAAACCCAACATTATTCCCTCCTTTTCAGTCAGTAACACATTACTCCCCCAAGTCCCAACATCCATCTAATATAAATCCAACAGTACACACTGCAAGGAATGGACGCAGGTGCGGTTCTACCGGGGGGGGGGGGGGGGAGCTAGGGGGGCTGTAGCCCCCCAAAATTTTGTCTAGCCCCCCCCAAAATAAATTCCGTAAAAAAAAAATTGCATTAGCATAAAGAAGGATTGTGATGTACATGCGAACGGTCTCCCCCTAAAGAAGAAATAGCTGTGACAAGGGTACATTAGTTAATACAGCGTGAATGATTTTAGGATTTTATTGGCGTTCCCCATTGAAAATATGGCATGAACCCCCCCCCCCCCCCCCCTCCCCACCTATTGATTTTCGGAGGCCTAAGTGTCTGGAAAAAATAACCGGTCAACATTTCAGCACGCCTCCCTGAAAAAGTTCTGGATCCACCGTGCTAGCCCCCCCCCCAAAAAAAAATATTGGTTCTAGAACCGCGCCTGAATGGACGTATATTCTGTGCACATTTTTATGTTTATATGCCTATATATATATATATATATATATATTAAACATATTAGAAGAGCACTTTCAAGAAATCCTTCATTGGGCCGCCCCTAATTCCCCTCCCTCTCCTTGTGATCCCCATAGTGTTTATAATACATGCACAATTAGGAAATGCCGCCATTGTAAGTATACAGGGTGAGTGAACAAAAGGGCAACAATTAGTCTTGCAACCGTTTAAACTTATCTTTACAGTGTATGGTAAACATAGTTAACCGATAGAAAAGTTGTGTTTTTACCAGCAAAAATGATGATTTCCCCTCGTTTGAATCAAGCTGCTCTAATGTACCGCCTCTTTACATATTTAGGCCACGCCCGCAAAAGGGTGAAAATAACACGTTAGAATGTTAGAATTTACAAAGTGAATGTAAAATACAGTTTTCTGAGTTTTCTTTTTTTGCACTCCCCTTTTTGAAAAATCAAGCTTCGCCCCCCAAATGGGCAAGATCCAAGATGCGTTCACCTCAAAAAATTATGTTCGCCCATTTCAATTGGACATGCCAATTTTCAGAATTTTACCACCAAACTGAATGACATTTTCCATATTAGAACCAAACTGCTAATATATACCGCCTCTTTTACCATTTAGACCACGCCCACAAAATGGGTGGAAAATGAACAGGTGTTAGAATGCTAGAATGTCTTATTTCATGTTTAAGTTTATTTCAAAGCGTAAAAAAACAAGGAAATTTGATGTTAAATACAGTTTTCATGAGTTTGTATTGTTTGCACCCCCTTTTTTGAAAAATCAAGCTCCGCCCCCAAAATGGGCAAGATCCAGGATGGGTCCCGATCTTAAAATGATTTTTAGCCCATTTTGACCACACATGCCAAATTTCATGCTTTTACCACAAAGTGCACGATTTTTCGCTTAGCAGCTCCACTATAATGTCTTACTGTTCCCGAGCAAAGACGAAAACCCCCGGTTGTTTGCATCGGACACGACGGAGTATGATACGTTTCTCCTGTCGTTTTCATTCAGTGGGCGATACACATTGTGTGTGTGTCTCATAAAATTACACACAGCACTAATGCACAAATGTGGTTTCTTACACGTCCGCAGAAGGCCAACACTTTACAGCTGGAATCACAACTAGCATGAACAGCCTGACTTTTTGGGGTCGCAAAAGTGGGCTCCGAAAGTCATTCTCGCATGAATAACACAAAACGCCCAGTTTTGAAAGGACAGTTGTGTGGCTGTTTATATCCTATTTTAAATGTTCTTTTCAATCAACAGCATTTCGTTCAAAGCGCGTTTAGTAGCCCAGTGTCCCTTTAATGAAGCCAAGCATTTTACCGAAACCGACAACCGATATGACTTACTGTTTTCTCTTCCTCAGACATTTCTTTCCATTCCTTGCTGACAGCCGCCATTTTACCCTACAAAAAATAGATTGAACAAAATGCACTCTCACACGTCAACTGAAATTTGAAACCTTTAATGGACTTCGTACATGATTCATTTATGCTGTCCAGCATTTTAATAAGCACTTTCAGGATAATGGCGCCATGTTGTTAATCAAGGTAATGGGGCATTTCCACACTGCTAATCAAGAACTCTTTTGCTTCCAAAATACACTAACACCAATTAAGAAACGTGAGTTCTTAAGGATTTGGGCCGATTCAGAAGGGTTCTTGCAAAAACGGCATTTGACGTTCAGGGTTAAGACAATTCAACTCTCTTTTCCTTTTTTTGAAGTATTTAGTTGAGTTCAAAAATTAAGTTCAAGGACTCAAAGCAGATACAATATAAATCCCTTGACTTTACGATTACAGACTGATAAAATCTTACCGTGACACTCCCAGAGGCATTCTTAAGTTTGGACTGTAAGAAGACACTGTAAGCCGTCAACGGACGCTTCGGTTTCTCAAGCTTCCTCAACTCCTGAAGTAAGGCACACAAAGGAGGATAACTGAGCTTCATTGGATTGAATGAGCTGGCACCATTGGACTACTTAACAAAGTTCCATGTGCTAAACACACCACACGAACGCACTTCTTCCCATGCATACTGCTTGAACTATGCACTACCAATGTATATCTGAATGGGCAGAAACCTGTAACTTCTGTGGCATCAATAGGTCTCTCAAAGATGGCCATCTCTGTAGGAGAACTGCAACTGCGTATAAGCAATCAAGCACGCATTACGCAGTGTTGAAAATGTTCCAAACACGCGCGCTGGTTGCTCTAAACGTGTTCGAAATACGACGCAGCCGATGCGCGTTATGCAAGCCGATGCGCGTTTTGATGCTCAAAATGCCGATGCACGTGGCTGATCTGTAGGAAATGACGTCATTTGAGAGAGACCTATGGTGTTCAGTTCAAGAGTCTACCTAGCGTTCAGTGTGTTTCACATTGAGTGAGTTTATATGCAAGAAGTCCATGTAACCGGGAGGAGCATCCCTGAATACTCAGGCTAGATACAAGTACAGTATGTAATACAATGATATTACATTGTGAAAGAACTGTTGAAATGACACCCTTCATGCCCTGGCTACACATATTTATAGTGCATAAATTCATTTATGTTGACCTGGAGTATGCAGACTACATCACCTCATGTTACCCAGGAACATCACTTTTCATCGTTCTCAAAGACCTTTAAACATTTTATTTCGTCCCCACTGCCTTTTACAACACAACTAGAATAGACCCTGGGCACATCTTAGGCGTTATACCCAAGGACATACACGTGTAATCGCAAACATTTGCACATATAACAAAGGTGCACATTTTATCAACAACCAATGACAAATTCGCATTCTTGTGATGTAATCCATGGCATTTTATGACAGCAGACAATTGTATCATGTACCTGTTTATGTTTTCTCTTTGCCTTGTTGCTCTTTGCCTGTTGTGTTTGCTCCTCAAGCATCCTCTCTTCCTCCTCAGTTAAACTCGCTTTGAAGGTTTCCATTTCTTCCATGTAGTCCTCCATATTCTGTCTTGACTGAGACCGGTAAGACTGCAGATAATGTTTCAATAAATCAACATCAGCTTCAATTCGATCAAGCAAATCAAAATATGTAGCAAATAAAACAATCTATGATATCTATCTTTGATTTTTTCCACTAGAGCAAATGCATTCAGTTTTTTCCACTGTGGAGAATCTACTACTAATTCATATTGCCTGGAATATAAACCAGTTGTTTTTTACACACAAAGCTGATAAATTAACTTGTAACTACCACTTTACAAACCAAGGGTGAGAGAAAGTGCTTGACTCAACTAGCTGCCCAGTTGTTCACCACAAAATTGTATTTTGATCTGGTGTTTTTTCTTAAGGTACATAGGATCAGTTGATATTTTTTAATAATAATACATTGTAAATATGGATACTTATGTAATGCTTTTAACTCAGATCAACAAGCGTTACATTATTATTACCCCTGATCACTGGGCCAATGAAACATTCCAAATATCATCTGATCTCAGACCCTTGGGGAGTATACAGCTCCATGCTGCCATTTCAGCGCAAAGCAGCTAAAATCAAACACAATAACCATCTCTGCTCTCACAGGTACCCATTTACTCCTGGGTGGAGAGAAGCAATGAGTGACAAAGTGCCTTGCTCAAGGGCACATGCACCATAGCCACAGGCTGGACTCGAACCCACAACCTGCAGAATTACCTGCAGACCACAAATTCAATGCTCCACACCGCAAGGCCACAGCACTTCACACTTTTGTTTGAGTTAACAAAAGTGCTCAAAATCTTAAGTATGTTGCTAAAACCTTTGAAACTTTCAGCTCAGTGGATATTATACATTGTGAGAAAACAGAGAAAACATCTGCAGACTTTTTGGGGTCTCATTACTGGTTTCCATTGATAACGCACGTTAACAAAAGTGTGTCTACACTCACCTTATTTTGAAACCACCTTCAATTTTATTTTTCTTCCAAACAATACCATTTCAGGCGAAATACTTTTATGAGGTATTGATACCAGTCCTATATCTTCAGTTTGAGCAAGATTTCTGTCATTTTACAAAGAAGCCCAGTTTGACACTTTCTTTATATGAGGTTATTACATCCTTAGTCTTGGCAGATGAGTAGGCCTGGAATCATTCATACCTCTTTTTCATCTTCAGAGAGCTCTCTCCACATTTTGCCAACCACCTTAGCTATCTCTGGAATATTCATACCTATAATTAAAGAACATAAAAAAACCTATATTCAAAATTGTGTTACTACAAGTACTGATAAGACAATTTCTAGGAATTAAAGTGATGAAAAGCTGCTCTTGCTAAGTGTAATATGACTTGTACATGTACATGACGGTAGCCTTTTTGTAACCTGTAGTATAATAAGGTGCCAAGTTCCTTGTAATTACTTATTTATTCAGCGTTCGGTTGGAATGGTCAAAGAAAGTATCCCAACTAATCGCGACAAGTGAGATCTCTGGTAGTAGATGCGGAAAGAAATTGCAGTGCTTAGATGTGAGAAGAAAAAGGCCTTGAAAGCATGACATTCCAGAGAAAACCAACAGAATCAAGTAAAGACTGACAACCCAAACCACATAGTCCTGGACTGGAATTGAACATGGGTCACAGCAGTGGAAAGCGATGCATCACTGCATCTATCATGTCAGTGGCATAAATCTGTGTCGACAACCTGGGGCATGTGGCATTCAATAAACTATGCTGGATGTAACAAAATGATGCGAAAAGCAGAAGGCGGGATAGACATCATTGGATACTACATGTAGGTGATAAAACAATCTTAGGGCCATATAAAATGCACACTGCAGGCTACGCCCACATTGTTTCATTTAAATTTAACATGGATATTTGTGTGGCTTGGATGTTCTCTTGTCGTTATTCACAACTTGTTTTTCCACAACCATAATGCTGAGGATCAGGACGAAATCTGGGGAATTGATCCAATGCCCCAACCGGGAGGTGATGGCCATGCCCATGTCATCTGCCATGAAGAACATTTGCAGAATCGTGTGGTATGTGTTTACACTATGTGTGTACTTCACGAAACTCATGGGCCTCGTGTGGTGCAGTAAGACTCAAATTTAAGAGCGGGTATATGGTATCCAATATGATGAGAAATCAACAATTTCAACACATTTACTTGGATTTTCTTTGATGACTTGCTGGCGTTTCTCCAGACTGAATATCATGAATGTCCCTGATGGTCTCTTGGGCCTCTGTGGTATATCTGCTGCTGATACCAAGCATCTCCAGTTGACTCTGTAAATGACAAGAATATCATCAATCAAGGCATCCTCCTTCAAACTATTTCTAACACAAAATTCTCAAACATGTACATGTACATGTACAATGTTTTTCTATTCATTTCCTTTGATCAAAGGGCCTGTTAAAGGGAACGTACATCATTGGCCTTTGCTGTAATTTTCAGAAACAAACTATTTGGGGGGAATGGGGGGTTAGTATAATAGATCAAATATTGTTACACTGACATGTTTGAAGTTTTGCATTCGAAAATTCTGGAAAAACCAAGAAAAACAAAAATGTTCAAGTAGTCTGGTTCCCTGACTCCACTTAAGATGAAATGGATCAAAAATGCTGGAAAATTGTAAGGTAAGGGAACCAGTCTAGCTGGCCTGCACCCATTCATGAACATCGAACCAATAGCAAACAACATTTGGAAAAAAAAAAAAGCAATGGTAAATACGGAGCAGTAGTTGAAAAAAAGTTAGGTTTTTTCAACGGTGGTCGGCCGACCACAGTTGGAAATGTATACAAAAGTACCATTTTTCTTGAAAATGACTTCACACCAGGTGCCCTAATTTTACAGGATGCTTTAGACTGTCATTTACCAACATCCTAGTAAGGTATTTCGTAACAACTGGGTAGTTTTATTTTTCGATGTTTGCAAATGTTGTATTTTCCCTTTAAGTTGTAGTTGATGTTGAGTCCGGCACATGTTGATGTTTGTGACACCATGTGCCACCATGCACGGTAACTGTACCATTATATCCAAACTTTAAATTCACTGCTTTTGAAACCACTAGAAAAAGTTTTAGCCTTTTGGACACAAAGTGAAGGGGGAAGAATGTGGCTGTCTACATGTATGGGAATTTGTGATTCAAAGAGCTGCACGCACTGTTGCCCAATGTGCAAAGTGGGCGGGCATAATGAATCGGTCTACTGTCATATAATGGATTGGTCTATTCTCATATAATGGATAGGTCTATTGTCATACTATTATCACACAATGGCTCGATCTATTCTCAAACAATGGATTGGTCTTTTGTCATATAATGCATCGGTCTATTGTCATATAATGGATCGCTCTATTCTCATATAGTGGATCGGTCTATTATCATACAATGGATCGGATCGGTCTATTCTCAAATAATGGATTGGTCTATTGTTATATAATGGATCGTTCTATTCTCATATAGTGGATTGGTCTATAGGGCTCGCTCAATGACGGCCATCTCTGTAGGAGACCTGCAACTGCGCATTATACTGCGTAAATGCCGAAGCACGTGGCTGGTCTGCCCCTTATTTGTGGCTCAAATACTGGTGATCATGTAAGACCTTTTCAACCTACATCTGACTTCTCTCAATTCTAATGAAACATTTTTTGTAATTTTGAACAGTTTTTTTTTGGGGGGGGGGGGGGTAGAGTAGTTGAGTTTTAGAGCGGCCACTGTATATTTTACCCGAAGACTACATGTATGCCAAGTGCTTCTTGACATACTAACGCTCTGTTCGCTTAATATAAAAGGGTTGAATTGATCCCGATGGTGCGAAAAAAATGATGAAAACACGTTTTAACGTGCACGCAAAGCGTTGTTGGCATAATCAGAGTCTTTTGGTTTGGAAACCGACAACAGACACTGTCTTTATAGTGCATATCGTGGGCAGCGTCAGACAGGCCAATCACGAGGCCTCTGACGTCATGCTAACAACGCTTCGCAAACTTCGCATGCACGTTAAAATGTTAAAACCCTAACTGTAGCTTCGGTACGGAAATGGGACCGTTTTCATTTTTTTTTTTTTTTTTTTGCATCATCGGGATCGATTCAACTCTTATATTTTATGGTAAAATAACAGTGGCCGCTCCAAAACCCAACTCTACTTTTTTCGGTCAGACTACCACGGAGCAGGAATGCTGGACTTCCTCCGGAGAAAGTCCAGTAATTGAACCACAATTGGCTACCCCCCACCTCCTCCCCCCCCCCCCCCCCCCCCCCCCCCCCCCCCCCCCCCCCCCGTTTTATTTCTCCATGCTTCATCCACCTGACCACCAGGCGACTCGATTTCTGCATCGCCGCTCCGCGTCACGCGGTGAGCATCGTGACACTGTCACTGACATGACTGACAGTGCTGTTGTCGATTATATACCTCGTGCCTTTATTGTTGATGAACCCGCCAAATATTCGACCCATTCTGCAACATTGGAGCATCACACGTGTCGTTGGCCAGAAAGCTGCCATTTTGAAGGTGCCAATTGAGGAACATTGAAAGCCAGCGTACATAACACGCGACATACGTTGCCTACATGTGCAAGCGCGCGAAAGTAAGGCAGGGTTGCATATACATATGCATTTGCATGCAACTTGCAAGATCCGAAGAAAAAAATACTTCATCGAATGAGGGCGCTTTTGTATGCATGTGGTCCGGTACGGTCAGGTAAGCAGTACACTGCGCGAGTACTACGACTAGTGTAGTACGAGTACGACGAGATAACTTTTTCATTTTATTTCGTCAGGTTAAATAAAAGACTAACAAGATGGTCAAAGAACAGTTCAGAGAGACGGATGTCGCGAAAAAAATGTAAGGACAAACTTTATTATATATGTTATGTGGTAAATAAAGTAAGATTGATTGATTGATTGAGGGAGCAGCCTGCTCAGCTCAGCCTGCGCCTGTACAGCCTGTACAGGCTAGCGTGTAAATGTTGTCTTTTGCCCCATCATTTCGATTTCACCCCATTACCAGTAACCACTTCGCCCCATCACAACTAAACGTTTTCTGAAAGTGCTGTGCAAACCGTGCATAACAATTAACATGTTAGTAATTGTCTTAATGTTATTGTTAGTTTTACTTTTAAATAATGAAATAAAATTTTGATTACGCATTTCGATATAGATTCGATATAGATTAGGCCTATACTATTGTTGATGTACCCTAACGTGGCGCGGCCCCTAACGTGGCGCACTTTTATTTTTCGCCTGTAGCGTCTAGCTAGAGCAAAAGTTTTAACTGAAATTTCACAGAAAGTGAATTTTCATTAAGTTCTAAACACTCCCGTTCATAAATCGCGATTTTATTTACCCGTTACAAAGTTAAAAGAAAAAATTATTTTGGCGTGATTTTCCGATTTTATTTTCAGGTGCAAAGTGAACCCTTTGAAAATGCCCCGAAAAATAAGAAAATAATTTTCTGACAAACATCTGGCTGGGTTTGTAAGTAAAGATAATAATGATGTATCAGAATTTATCAAGTTTACAGAAATTCTTAAATGTTAATTTGGAATTTTCTGAGATTTGTTCAAGTGCGCCACGTTAGGGAACACTCCGCCAATTTGTGCCCAATTTCCGGACGCGACCGTTTTTGCATTTCGGATTAAATTTTATGAAACCGAAATTGTTCACAGAGGTTAAATAGCAAGCATTAAAAAGGTAAAAGTACCAGTATTTCACTGCATGAATTTGAGGTTTATCAACAAAGAGGTTTGGCGACACTACACGAGGAAAGTTGGGTAAGCTTCGAAGTGCGCCACATTAGGGAACACGACTATATAGGCCTACATCATGGCCTAAGCCTAGCTGGAGTTACCCAGCCCTAAATTTTATCATTGGGTTGTCATCAGGTCATTTAGGGCTGGAGGAAGTTTTTCACTCGAACCAGCAGCGTTGGCAGGTCCCAAAAAAAAAAAAATTTTACACACTAATTGCAACTGCAACTCACCCAAACCTTGCCTGGAATAACCAATACACAGGTCCTCGAAGTAAAAAAACGATCCACGATAAAGATTCAGCCTACAATTCAGCCTACAATTCGTTCTTGCCGAATCGCCATAAATGAATCTGTGTTTTGTTTCCCAACAAATACAAAGCCACAAAAATGGTATACAGAATAAAGGCGAGAAGTTTTCTCAGCAAGATTTATATATTTTTGGTGAAATTTATTGTTGATAAACCAGCCAGTATCACGTTTGTCACTTTATGGACAGACACCGTGACATACGTGACAGCTGAATAAGCCATTCCTAAAGTCTCATTTAAGAACACCTTCAATAAAGAAAATTCTTGAAAATTTTGCAAATTTCTCATCTTTGATATTTTTCAAATTATAGGTTTTGCCCTTCACCGACGTTTAAACACTGTATACATAAATGTACTCAGTGTGTTGCCTCCCGAGTGAAAGTTGGAAAAAATCACTTGGGTGGGACTCGAACCCACGACCTCCTGCTCTCTAGTGCAGATGTCTTACCACTCGACCACCGAGCTAACGGGATCGTTTGATATTTAATTTGATATTTTTGCTAACTATAATTCAACATGTGAATTGTTTTTCTCTGTGATAACACCTCGTTTATAAGACCTGAAAAAAACATGAGTTTGCATGGTTAAATGCATGTCCCGCCAGGACCCCAAACAATTTCCTGGACATTTTCATCAAATTTCTCCTTTTTGAGTCAACCAACTACCAAATCCTTTATTGTGTAAACTATCTCTCAACAATTGTACAACTACTATTACCATCATTAAAGCTTAAAGGGAATATACAACATTTGCAAACATCGAAAAATAAAACTACCAAGTTTTTGCGAAATACCTTAACAGGATGTTGGTAAATGACAGTCTAAAGCATCCTGTAAAATTATGGCACCTGGTAAACTGTCATTTTCAAGAAATGTGGTATTTTTGTATCAATTTCCAACGCTGATCGGCCGATCAGCGTTGGAAACAACTGGCTTTTTTTCAAATACTAGCCCCAATTGACCATTGCACTTGTTTGCAATCGATTACAAACCTATAAACGTGTACGAGCCAGCTAGACTGGTTCCCTGACCTTACAATTCCCCCAAAGTATGTAAACTGCTCTGTTTCTTCTTATATGGAGTCAGGGAACCAGACTATAGGAAAATTATCGTTTTTCTTGGTTTTTATAGCATTTTCGAACCCAAAACCTCCAAAAAGTTAGTGTAACTATATTTGCTTTATATTTCCAACCCCCCAATTCCATCCATTTCTGAAAATTACAGCAAAAGCAAATGATGTATATTCCCTTTAATTCCTGAGTTCCAACCCAATTTAGATGAGAGCTAATTGTGATGTTGTGCAGTTGTAACATTTAGTGTGGACTGTGGACAGACTCAAAGACAAGTGGTTTAACGTAATTTATACTAACTATAGTTAAAGGCTGAAAATGGTAATCGTTATCATGTAGGCCTAGTTTAGGACACCTCCAATTTTTACAAGTTTCATTCAAAAATGAATTTTGCAAATATTAACAGTCAATTCCAAAATGACTTGCAGTCTCAAGCAGTCTTTTTTAATAATAAATAATAATAATAATAAAGAGCATTTAAAATGCGCCAAATCCATCTTGGTTAGATGCCCAAGGCGCAGAAAAACAAACAAATAAACATGAACAGCAAGAACAGTAGGGAACAAAAGTAGGCACAAATGAAAATACATGAATATGAAACAGTATAGTAGCCCCACTAGTGGCCGCGATATTGCTGCGCTGTGTCTCTGGCCACACACCAGGTTCTCGCCCACAACTGAGGAGTTTCTCAAAATATTACGCAAAGTTTCTTACATATAGTTGTATTCTATGATGTCTCAGCTGTTCACTTCTGGGATGCTTAGGTGTAATAATATCCAATTTTCCGAGAAATTTTTTAATCTTTCTGGAGCCTATATGCGTACGAAAATCATCTGTTGATAGCAGCCATTTTGAATGTAAGAAGTGATGACCCCAAAGCCATGAAAGCTGTGACGTCGCGCTTATGTAAATCGATCTTGTCACTCAGGCACGCAAGTTGCGATGCGACGGCTGTTTCTTGTACAATCTCTCAACCGATAGTATTATAGCGCGCAGCCGTACAGTATGGGCGAATCAATTGTACAAGAAACAGCCGTCGCATCGCAACTCGCGCGCCTGAGCGACAAGATCGATTTACAGCACATGCGCATCGGTGGAAATAAAAGAGCTGTCCTGAAAACCATTAGTCAGGCGACGTACCACACATGTGCATTTGATGGCGCTAACCGGTCGAGTCATGGCCACGTCCAAATTGATGAAGAGCTCTGATTTTGAGCCTTCCAAGGCCCAGTGTTTTGCTGACAAATTGCTTCGTCCACACGCCAACATTTTTGTATCCAATGACGTTTACATTTGTACATGCTGGCTTGCAAGCTGTACATGCGTGGCTTGAAAAACCGCAGAACATACAGAAACCAGACATCATAATAATACCGGAGTCTTATGTAGCGCACGTATCTACCAACAATTAGGTACTCAAGGCGCTGGAAATTGTGTGTTTTATTAAAGACAGGTAAATGAAAATTATAAGAAATATGAGACCCACTTTGTGGCACCTTATAAGGGTTTACAAGGTGCTGTTGCGCATATTGCAGCCACTGCCAGAAACACCGGGGCAAACCCCTTCTCTTAGCGATAAGTGTTACTCAGTTCTTTAACATGCATTACACGACACACGACCTATGGCTTTGTGTCCCTCCGAAGGATGAAGCAATAATGGTACAGTGCCTTGCTCAAGAGCACAAACATCATGTTTCCACGGTCAGGATTAGAACCCATGTACCGCGGTACCACAGCACACGAGTCGAACACCGTAATCATTGGACCACAGCACCCCACATGCTTACTTCACAATTCTGCTTGGAATCTCCCAAGCAGCAATACGAAATTCCAAAGACGTCCTTTGTTTCCTGTTGGCGTGTGTGTTAAGGGCAAGTAGAAACACACATGTGATGCATTGTTTTGTATAAAATGTACATTATTTCCTATTAGGGCACAATTTAAAATGCCTGGAAGCAACGGTGAGCTGTAGTGACATGCGGGCAAAGTGACATTAGGAGAGCTATCCAAACTCTGTGACCATTCTTTCATTTGAAGAATATATCATTTTGTTTTATTTTTACAGAAGCAAGGTTTGCTTTGGGTTGATGTCCCCAGAACAAATCCGTCAGCAAGCACACATTCATGTAGTCAGCAAGAACCTCTACCAGCCAGATAATGCTGCAAGGACACCTATCCCCTATGGGGTACTAGACCATCGCATGGTAAGTGTAATGTAGCATCAGTGTACATGTATGTATACCATGCATGTATCTTTGTGTAACTCAGTCTTCTAGTGTTAAAGGGACATTACGTCCTGAAATGCGCCCAATTGGGCTACAAAACGCATATTAAATAAAATTATGTTATTTGGAAAGAGCATTTAAAAGTAGGATATAAAAATCCACGAAGCCATCCTTTAAAAACTGGGCGTTTTTGTGTGATTCTTGCGAGAACCATGCGAGAAGAAATTTTGTGGGTCAAAATTTTGACTCGTAAATTGAGCTGTTGAATGCTGTGAATCCTGCTGCACGGCGCATTGCATTCTGTGGACGTGTAAGAAACAACACTTTTTGTGATTTAGTGCTGTGTGTATTACAATGTATGTGACACACACACACAGTGTATTGTAAATGTACATGTACGGTACATTGAATGGACACGGCAGGAAAGACGTGTGTATGCCATAAAATGTCCGCCATGTCCGATGTAAACCAGGTTTTTTCGTCTTTTCTCGGGAACGGTAAGACATTACATGTAGGTTAGTTTCCTCTCAACCAGACCTTTGAAATAGCATAAGTACAGTCCTTCTGATTTGAGGCGTGCGATCACACCCCCACACCATCGCACACCTAAAAGCCTCCCGAGAAGTGTGAATAATTGCACGCCTGAATTGCCCTGGACCACAGATCACACACCTAGAAAACCACACACCTAGAAAAAACACACGCCTAGAAAAATGCAGGTGTGCCTTTTTCCACACACCTGTGATTTTCAAATCAGAAGGACTGTGTACATGTAAGTAAGCAATCCAAAATATAACATTTTCGGAGATTTATAATAAAAGTATTCGAGATGACACATTGGTCCTTACCATTTGTCATGCAAATTGTTTCACGTTTATATTTTTTTTCTACACTTGCATGACTTGAGGTCACAGTCCCATTGGCACACTTTGAATAGACATTTATTCCAAATAATTTGAAATCCAAGTTAAGGTTTCCTTAACCAGTTTACGCCGGATGAGGTGTATACCCGCAAAGGTTTTGTGGTATTCAGAACGGACGACGTATAAACATGCAGGGAGCAAGGCAGGAATCATCTGCCAGTGACCCACTCGCAGTGAGCGAGGCAGGAAATATGAGTGTGCTGCCCGAGGGTGATGGCTTCAACCCGCCTGGCTTGAGGTCGAGTGAAAAGTAATCCCGCGCCTCGTTCCGTTCTTGTCAAACTATTCCTTGCGTGAACTGGTTAACTGCAGATTCAATCTTAACAGAGATGTACATTTACAAACATTGTCTGTACATTCCATGGTTCAAGTGCTCTTTCCGTTCAGATTTTTATGTTTTCTACTTCTAGGGAACGAGTGAGAAGGATAACCCATGTTTGACTTGTAAAAAGCCTCTGGCTGAGTGCTTAGGCCACTATGGCTATGTGGACTTGGAGCTTCCAGTCTTCCACATTGGTTACTTCCGATCCATCATCAGCATTCTCCAGTGTATCTGCAAGGTAAGTTTATGCAACCATTACTGATGTCTTTTAAAAACTTCACACACAAACACACTTCAGAAATCGTAATTTTTTCACTTTTGGGAGTATTTTTTTTTCACAAAAAAAATGCACAGTGTTGATCTTAGATAACTTGGCTACTCAAACATTCAAAAAACCCAAAATTGATTTTGACATAATTTTCCACGTGTAGGCAACTTCAGGCGCCGATTAACAAGGTTTTGGGAGACATTCCTCGTTTAGCCTCAGTAGGTCACATTTTCATCCATTATCATCAATGGGAAACAGAGGATGTAGTAAATGATTTTATAAGATTCTGACACAGTCATCAGTAGTATGAAAAACCACCAGGCCACCTGTCTACTTGCCTTTGAGTCATGACAAGCATTAAACCTAGGCTTGAATGGATGGGTTCAGTCCAGTGATTGTTTAAGCCTAACCCTGCTAAATGCCACAGAATGTACCAGTATTAAAAAGTTGTTGCAAGTTGTTGCATTTAGCAGTCTCCTGATCTGCATTCATTCCATGCCTGCATTGCGTTGCATTTGGCAGGGTAGGTACTTGGTACCAAGGCTGGCACTGCATTCTGTTGCATTTGGCAGGGTGCCTAGAGAATACCCTGTGGGGGTTAAGGTGATGACCATGATGACCATGATTCCTGTGATCTTGACTTGCCAGGACTGTGCGCATATTCTCCTCCCTACTGCTGACCGTCAGTCATTCCTGGATGCCCTGCGCAGACCCACACTGACCTACCTACAGCGCAAAGGCCTGAGGAAGAAAATCAGTGACAAATGCCGCAAGCAGCAGAACTGCCCTGCCTGCATGGCATTCAATGGTGAAATATATGGTTTTGTAATAGCTAAGTAGTATACAAATATTGAGTGGCTCGGAGTGAAATGGGAGGAATATTATCGCAAGGTAAAACCGGACTTTTCCATTGCATAAGGCGAAGCCGAGTGAACTGGAAAAGTCAAGATTTTACCAAGCGAAATATTCCTCCCATTTCACAATTTAAATCCACTCAATATTTGTTTTATATAACTGACATAGATCCTTGTCATTTGATATATTTGAACTTTTATTTCACTACAGAATTGATGGAAAAAGTATTTCTCTCTTCCAAACCATCACGAAAATGTCTGAACCCCAACTCTGTAGGGCTGGCTCTTTGGAACAATACGCGCTATGCGCAACGCCGAACGCGCACACCAGTATGCCTTTGCACACAAATACCGCGTCTTGGAACAAGATTGATCCTAACTGTTCAATAGTATTTCCCATTCCCCATGGGTGGATAGTACTTTTTGAGACCCGGCGTGAATGGGAGCAATAACAAATGTCACGTGATGTAAGTTCCACCAATCAAATGACAAGGATCTGTATGTCGGTTATATAATGTTAACTGCCCACTTGTAACAATGCCCACTTGTAACAAGTATGATAACAAAGTATAAAGACAAAGTATGGTATTAAAATGAGATGTTTTTACAAAGCCCCAAAACACTGAGGGCCCAGTTCTGCTAAAAGAGCCTCCATCTGGTAAGCAGCTAGTTAGCACGTAAAAAAAAGACATGTTAACCCGGGTTAGAGTAGTGGTATTAGCACATCCTTGATGTGAAAAAACTTTAGGTTAACACAATTTCTTCTGTCGGCTCTGCGGGCCAACAAAAGTGGGCGTGTTTTATTTACCACTTTTGTGAGCCCTTGGACGGGACACGCCGTGTGTTTGTGCGTACTGTACTTGTTCGCGTGCGAAGAATGCACGACTTATTTATCCTGAATGTGCACAAAGTTAAAGCATAGCATCTCTGCATGAGCGTCAGGCGTCGTCCATACGTGAATGCATTCGAAATTCTCTTTCGATTGTCTCCCCTAGACTAGTCCCCGCCCCCCCCCCCCCCCCCCACAATATGGATACATTCGAAGTCCGCAATGGATGGACCGGGGACCAGTCTAGGTCTCTCCCAACTCTCCTATTCTGGCCATTGACGTGGTACTTGTGCACGGAGCCCATAGTAAGCACAGATTTGTTTTGCTAATTCTTAAGTGGGGCCATTGCATGTACATTGGCCCTAAACATTCAGTGCCCACTTGAACTAGTCATTGTAAAGTCAGAGTGCAGTATTTCAGGGTGTGTGTGTATAATTGTCCAATGTCATCCACCCCCCCCCCCCCCAGAAAACAGATGATTGAGGGACCATTACATGTAAGTGGGCAACTACTGTACCTAATTAGAATTTGTTGAGAAAAATGTGTGCTGTTGAGCTTCATAGTACTTTACTATTCCTACTTGAGTGTCCTTGGATTTGTGGTTGGCAAATTTCTTTTAAAAATGTGACTTATTTAAACTAAAAAAACACACTTTCTGATTGGACTGAAACTTTTCAGATATGTACTAAATATCCATGAAATCTATCATTGAACAACCAAGTTGTGGTTGGGGGTGTTATACTGTTTGTCATTCCTGAAAATTCATCACAGGTCAGGTCAAAAAGTGCGGCACCCTAAAGATTGTCCATGAGAAGTTCAAGAGCACACGTCGAGGCAGAGAAGGGGCAATGGTTCAATTCTTAGCTGACGTGGACATTGCTACACAACACAACAAGGATTTGGAGCCATTTCTGTCTAAGGCACAGGTACATGTACTGATCTTAAATCACTTATGAAGTTCAAATGAGAATACCACAGCCCTAAACAGGAACACACTGATTCTGTTGAGAAGAGCGTTCGAAAAAGATTTCCCAATATTTTGACAATGCACAAGTATGACGACACATGCATGTGTGTAGGTGCAGACAATTCTAGCTTGGCCATTAACATCGTCGTGTCACTGCAACAAGGTTGTATCTCCTAAAACACGTCACATCATGTACGTGACGTCATGTACGTGAAACGTGAGTTTCAATGTCAAAAGGTTGCATCTCGCTTAACCCTAAAGGGGCTGGGGACTCAACTTTTTCCGCGATAGCTTTGAAAAAAAAAAAATTTTACGACCCGAGCTGTTATGACTTTTTAGCCCCAAGCCTTGCACATCTTTTGATACCAAAAACATAAAAATCGGACCACATTGTTGCCGTGCCGCAAAAAAATTTCCGCCGCTATGCGCCATGAAAGTTGAATTACCCCATATACGTAGTGTACACAGAGCAGAATTACCATTCGTGCATATGAATAATTACTTAGCATAATTCCTATAGTCATGAAATTTTGTGGGTATGTTCATGATAAGTTGTTCTGTGCATGTACCAAGTTTCATAATTTTTCGTCACTCGATGGCCGAGATCTGGGGGGGGGGGGGACGAAATCCTAAGCCTACCCCGCAAGAACAGATACATTAATTTCTGGCAGCCAATAATTTGAATTGTTAGGAAATATTCAATAACAAAATGTTGGGGGATTGTTTTCGTTGATGTCTCATTCAAAAGTGAATAACTTTTGTATTGCTAGAAATATAGCAAAATGGAAAAGAAATCTACTTTTTCGGGATGAAACTCGAAAACATCATGTGGAATGCATTTTTAACAACAGCAATGGTGCTTAAGTTCCAGTGAAAACAGTTATGTTTTCCATTTTAAACTACTCATAGTCATAGTGGACATTGAGTAGGTGGTCATGTGAAGTTCCATGTTCTTATTTCCTTGTGGTAAGTAGAACACAGTTTTGGACGATCAGTTTGCAATTAACCTGTCGCGGTAGAATCGCGTTAACGCAGCTTGTGGAGTATTGTCCAATTCATGATATACAAATGGACGCAGAACATGCACAATCTGAGACAAACAAAACTCAACGTACAAAATTCCATATGGTTGTCTAAGAGGCGTGGCTAACTCGAAAATGGCAATAGGTCAATTCTGGGGCTGGGGAGAAACTTTCCACCCCACTCTCTTGTGAAGTTGCACCTTGCCTGATCATTCATTGATCTGATGATGATCTGTGATGGGTTTTGTTTTCTATCCAGGAATGCCTGAACCCATTGACTGTGCACAATCTGTTCAAGAGAATCCCACAAGAGGTATGTGCCAACAACTGACACTTAAAGTAGGGAACATTTGCATAAAATCCAAAAATGAAATTGTCATTTTACTACAATAGCGTACTTGGTTATAAGCAAATTACATTGTGAAGCATCTTGTGAAATCAAAGAGCCTGGGTATGCTGGCATTTTTCCGAGAAAAACAGCATTCTAGGATCTCAATTTCAAATCAAAAGTTGCTGAATCATGTTTGGAATTGGATCTAAATTCAGCGTTCGAGACACGTTCTCACTGAGCCGATTGCAGCTACACGATGTCGCGCACTGATCCGACGAATTGTAGCAACCATGCGTGCGTGTGTGTCGTGCCAATGCTTGCGCGCCCTTCGCCAAATAACAAAACGAACTACTAATTTAAATTTCCTACGGTGCGTCTTAAGAAGCACCATTGGAAAGGCCTTCTTTCGTTGATTACTTCAAAATGACAGCTTGCCAGAAAGAATAATTTCACAGGGAGTTTAGTCCCCTAACTATCTTTCAACCAAGTATGTTTTTCAACAATAATTACTCCAGTTACTTTTCGGATAGCTGCTAATGATGGACTATAGCTTTAACACACACAATCACAGACAGTAATTTTACATCCTATTTTAATAGAACCTTTTCACAAATTAATACAAATTAATAAGTGTTTCGCAGAAGATTGTCCCCACACCAGTTAAAACAACACTTATTTTTGCTTCCATTGGAGATTCAAGCCAAATATAAAACCTGGGTTTACAACTGTCGTAGCAAAACATTGCATGTGTTCAGGTTGGGCCGCTGCAGTGCGTGTAAACCGGTAACACTGGTTGCACTGAGTTGACCTCTAAGTGAGGTCACGACTTCTGCAGCCAATCATCAGCTCATCTACCCATATTCCTTTTACTTGGATCCAATAAGTTCGTGAATTCAGTAAACATATCCTATTTGCTGCAGGATATTCCATTGTTAGTGATGGATAGTGACAGCAGTCGGCCACAGGATTTAATCCTGACAAGATTACTGGTACCACCGCTCTGCATTCGGCCATCAGTCATCTCAGACCTCAAAGCAGGAACGTAAGTGGATATTCAAGTTGGAGGTGTTGTCAGCTTATTCTTTGAAAATACATAAGGCCTGATAAAAAACAATGTGAAATTGATTCAGTAAATCATTGATGAGGGGGGAGGAGGGTCGTAGAGACCCCCTTTTAGTTTACAATTTCTTCTTCTTTTTTGACAAAAAGCAAAGTGCTTGAAAAGTTGAAAGTTATTTCATACGCGGTTATTTAATGTGTAAAGCACCTGCACATATTCAAAAATAGGGCAATTTAGATAGAAATATCCTATAAAGCAATTGAATAGTTTTGAGGTTGGAAGCACTTGAGGTTCAGACCCCCCCCCCCACCTTTTTTCACAAATCCTTTATCTGTCACTGTATCAGTATAAACAGTTAAAGAGACATGCAATGTAATTTGTTTAATAAAATCCTTGAAAATGCACCTGTGTGTCACATTAATCCTTATTTTCAATTTTCGTTTTGTTGTTTTCAAGGGTATTTTTATGCCTTTTTGGTTTTAATGCTAATGCAAATTTCCATATTCATTAGAAAAAGTGTGATGTCATTTCAGGCAGAAACCACAATGTTACAGCTATTTTAGTACCAAAAGTTGCCAGAATTATGGATATTTTGCTGTTGTGAATTTTCTTTTCTTTGGTGATTCGTTGTTGTGTCAGTACATGGCATTAAGCCAGTGGGCAAGCTTTTCTCACATGTCACAGATGTTTTCAATGAGCAAATTCTTGGGTTCCAGGTTTGAACAGAAAACAACTCTAAACTGAACAGTGTCTTCCTAAAATGACATCACAGCAACAGCACCCTCGGTTGTCTGGCAAAGTATGAAAATTTGAAATGTTAAAGAAGTGCACTTTTCAATAAAAGTAATCAAAAAAGAATGTCAAAATGTTTACATACATGTACATGTAAGAGGAGTAGAAAGTTGCTCAAAATGTGTTCCTTCAAAAAATTCATCTTACAAACCCTTTAAGTTTGTGGTCACAGATCAATGCTTTATTATGCATTTATTTCTGTATTTCTTTATTCAGCAATGAAGATGACCTGACAGTTAAACTGACAGAGATTATCTTCCTAAACGATGTGATAAGGAAACACCAGCAGGCGGGTGCCAAGATGTCCATGATAATGGTAAGTAATCCTCACCACCGACTGCTTTTTACTGTGAAAAAGACTTATCGCCTGGGATTTATGCATTATTTCAACTGTTGTCAAAAAACAGATGATTTTCCCACTTTTTTTTTGGAAAAGTAGTATATTGTTGTACAATGTAAGTGCAGGAATACTCAAAATAAAATAAGCATCAAACAGAAACAGCCCGCTTGCTTACTCAGGCTTATATAATGCACATGGTTGTATACTTGTGTGGACCTAGTCTATAGAAACGGCCGCTCGTTACGATGACACCATCATTGCCGACATCACTCTTTTTCAACGTTTTGTATTTTAAGTATAAAGTGCAAACATTTTTAATAGTAGGTGGGCTTTAATATGAAGAAAGCTAGATGGTGTACGCTGTGGTCTTGATCGCTAGTCCAAGGTCAATACAGTCTCAGTACTTGGGCGTGATTTCTTCTTAACTCTTTATACATGTATTTCATAATTTTCTTTATATTTCAGTTAATTTTGGGTCAGAAAACGTATCGACTGTAAAACAGGTTTGGCATGATTTGACCAGTTTTTCACGTTTCTTTGCAGGAGGACTGGGATTTCCTGCAGCTTCAGTGTGCCTTGTACATCAACAGTGAAACATCAGGCATTCCTCTTAACATGCAGGTGAATTCATTAGATCTTATCTTGGGTTGGGGAGGGCAGGCATTCACTCTTTTGAGTAAGAAATTAATTCATTGTCATAGACATAGACAGCAGCTATACACAAGCAACTCTCTGGAATTCCTACTAGTACATTGTGTAAGTTTCTCTTTTTTCTCAGAATAATTTCATCATGAATGCAACCAAGATCTCTGAAGACAGAAGGTCTCATCAATGCCTTTCCTTCTTTCTCAAATAAAAAATTTCAGCCTAAGAAAGCCACCAGGGGTTTCTGCCAGAGGTTAAAGGGCAAGCAGGGTCGTTTCCGTGGTAACCTGTCAGGAAAGCGAGTGGATTTCTCCAGTCGGACAGTGATCTCTCCAGACCCAAATCTGAGAATTGATGAGGTATGTACAGTGCAGTGTTGTAGTCGAGACCGGATAGTCCGAGACCAAGACCGAGACCTGAAGTTGCGAGACCGAGACCGAGACCAGCCCCTTCAAGGCGGACCGAGAGCCACCCCTTGGTTTCAGCAATGACCACTAACGGATATTTAAATGCAACTTTAATTTTACATTGGACCTCCTTGTAAACCTGATTCGAAAAAAATTTGGAGCAAGAAAATATTGATTTATTTTTTAAAATTTCAGTCATGGAATATAGATTTGTACATGTAGACCAACAAATTGAGAGATGGTAGCCAGATATGGATTGGTCTCCCCCCCCCCATCCCTTTTTGTGATTCTCCTTCCAACCCTGCATGTTTGTGTGTCCCCTACATGTTTGTTTCTTGTTCCTCTGTCATTTACCTCTGAAGAAGGCCTGGCTAAGGCTGAAATGTAATGCCACTTTAACGTCAATGTCAATAACGTTACATATACTATAGAAGATTGATGAGCCCTATTTGCCTGATCTATCTTCTGTTAATCTGCCCGCCGTCATCATCGTCAGTAACCTATTTGAGAATATGGCCGACACAATAGAAGGGCGCAGTCACAAACTGAATGTGGTGGGCGAGATGTACTGTTAGGATTCATGGCTCAGTGCGCATGCCTCTCTGTGTTTTGTACCGTGCCATCGTATCAACCGCATCAGCTACTTTGCTGGGCAATTTACTTGAATATTTTAGTGATTAACAAGTACGACATATTGCCAATATATTAATAGTTTATTGTGATGGCCGTAAACAGCATATAGCGATTAATGGAACACAATTCTTTTCGACTCATGCAAATGCAATTGACATTTAGGAAGGAGACGAGGCAGGCAATTAGACTCTATTTTTGTGTGACTATGGCAGTAGCTCAATTTGTGTTTATCACAGATGAAAAGATGAATACATGGCGAGTCAAAAAGAAAGTGACCGTATGATAAAAAAAAATGGCATGCTCCATTTCGTAAAAAATATAATTGGGATAAAGAACATGTTATTGAGTAGTAACTGTGAACATTTCACGTAATTTGCATACTCTATTCCCAAGTCGTGTCTATTTTAATAAAGAGATCACAAAATTCAGCTGTCCACCACTAATACCAATTTAACAGTCTACGAATTGATAAATATCCATTAATAAATATAATGGAAAAAAAAAAGTTTTCCGCCTCCACGAATAAAGGAAAAATTGAAAAGGAAAATAGAAAAAAAATCACCAATATTTCTAGGGAAAAAGAGTTGAATTGTTCCCATATTCAAAATACAAAATCTGACGGTAAAAATAATGTTTCAGTCTTGATTCATAAGATTTAAATCTCAGTTGTATTTGGAATCAATGAGGATGGCTATAAAGTGCTTGTTTCAACAGATCATCCCACAATAAAAACGAGAAATAAGAAGAGGAGCAATGGTTATTGGACTATGCCTCACTCACTAGAAAGTGAAGAGAGACATGTCCATTAGCATCACACTGCAGTCACATTTGCCTTAAACTGATTCTTTACTTAACCCTAAAAGGGCCGGGGGCGGAATCCGCCCCCTCACTTTTTGGCTGGTTTCGACTCGAGACCAGCCAAAATTATCGATACCAAAGGGGACCGAGACCGAGACCACAGCTCCTGAGACCGAGACCGAGACCGGCAAAAAGTGGTCTCGAGACCGAGACCGAGACCGGTCTCGAGACCTACAACACTGGTACAGTGAGAATAGGTATATTATGAAATGTTAATCAAACACCAAGCGCATTATTCCTAGAAAGCTTTCTTTTTGGGTACCCAATTGAAAAAAAAAAAAAATGGGTAGCCGGGTAGCAGTCAATAAAACCAAGCCCAAAATTCAAGTTGTGGAAGTTGCTGCTCATATTTTCATAAAAGTCCATAGGATAATATATATGTGTGCATCGGTGCGGCAAGATACAAGTGTGTTCAGTGAGCCTTATAGCTTTATGGTGTAAACTGCAACTTTTGCAAGTGTCATAAACGTGGAAGATGTTCTGTTTTCCCATGTGGCCTGGTTTTCATTTTAAAAATTTCCCACAAATTACCTTCAAAACCTTTCTTTTTCATTGTCTACGAAGTTACTAAGTAATATGTAACATTGGTTACCAGAACTTGTTTAAATAGTCTTAAAGTGGTTCCTGACATCAGCGGTCTGGTACTGGGGTAGCTGGATCCGATGCATAGTCCTAGAAATTGACAATGAGCCATGGAATTCACTTCAAAATCAAGGGTCAGACTATTAAATGCAAATTGTACTTTGTAGTGTATGTATTTCAAGGGGACTAAATTCTTTCCACCAGATGTCAAATCTTGCAAGCAGTGATCCAAAGATGAAACTTTTCTGATTTTAATCGGAAATCCGACTTTTTGAATTTTTCAACGAAATTTCCGATTTTCTTACAATGTGTCCCACAAAATTTGATTTTGTGTAACAATTTTTTCACAAAATGTCATTTTATTTCCATCATAATTTCAAAGAAAAGTCGATGAAAAGTCGATGGAAATGGCACGTTAAAATCATCACGAACGTAGTTTTAATCTCTTTCACCAGTCGTTATTGGAGTGTTTCAACGGTAGAAACACAGGCCATAACACTGATTGGAGCCTTCTCCGGCTGGACAAAGGTTAAACATTGACAGGTGACATGGAAAAATCACTGTGTCACATGTGCGTGCGAAGATGATATGCAATGGTACCAGCGTACGTACCGCACCGTACCGTCCGCTAGCACATGGCTGGTGGGGAACGGTAGCCTTGTGAACGATCCAGTGGATAAAATCATTATGTTTCAGATTTAGTTGTACAAAATGCAATGCTTTAAAATCGTAATGATTATCTCGAGGATAGGAAGAGAGCATTAGCGAAACATTTCACTGGCATTTGTTGGAAGAGAAAGACGATTATGCCTGATTTTTCCCCACGTATGAATGCAAGTGGAGTTGTGTGGTTGCATCATGGACAAGATTGAAGCACCATGAACGGTGCCCTTGTCTTTCGGACTTTTTCCTCAACTTTCTCAAGTAAGAAGTGAACTTTTTTATTGATGACTCCATTACTCTAACCGTAATTCAGGCGTTTTATGCAATGAAAACACTGACCTTTTTTTTTTCATCGTAAAATTTTGTTGGAATAAAAAATATAGCAGGAGTTGGTGTCCGGAAATTGGGCAAACTGCAGCGCGGCCCAGATTTCGGACACGTATTTTTGTGCGGCCTATTTTCCGATTTTTCATCCGCAGAGATTTTTGTGACTCAAGTCAAGTTGAATCATTTTAAAGAAGTGACTTGAGTCAAGTCATTAGGTCAAGAATGTCGAGTCGAGTCACAATGTGTAGTGGAGTCAAGTCGAGTCAAATATTAAGCTGGAGTCAATGTGAGTCACGGATATTTCAACGCTATATACAAGAGAAAAAGTCATTTGCATCACTAACAGTTAACAAGAAGTGAACCTTTGGTCTTATAGGCTGTCAGGTTTGGCTTCGGGTCTAAACAATATATTGCTGATCGCTGACAACATCAAAACCAAATTGCATTGTACAAAACTGTTTCATTATTAGATTATATTTAGTGTTTAAAAGAAGGGCATAAATTTAGCCGGCATTCAAATCCAAGAGATAAAAAAAAAAAAAACCCAGTTCTTTGAATAGTATTTCGTGCATTCCAGAACCACAAGATAGGATTCTGTGACATGTTGTATGTTTGCACCGTAAGTCATTGTGAATAGTTTTTCGCAAAGTTTTGCTTTTATTTTTGGGACTCAAGTCTTATTAGCTTTCGCTCAAGTCAAGTCCAGTCTTCTGATGAGGGACTCAAGTCGAGTCAAGTCATTTGCTCACAGGGACTCAAGTCGAGTCGAGTCATTCACCCATAGGGACTCGAGTTGAGTCGAGCCACCTAAAATTGTGACTTGAGTCAGACTCGAGTTGAGTTATTAGAGCGGAGTTGGGTTTTTTTAAGAACAAAAAATGCAGGAATGCAAATACACGAGCTTGCCCAAAAAATTAAAAAAATTAATTTAAACATGAAAAGAAACCCAAAATACACTTCCTGTACACAATATATGAAATCCACAAAGAAGCCACACCCAAGAATAGATGAAAATGGTTGAGGGATGTCATTGAATACAAGAGAAACAAGAACTTATTTATTTATTTTTTTAAAATTTAACATACATGTTGCCTAGTTTTAAACAATTATGACTTTTCAATTGTCAAGCTCATACGTTAATTTATACACACGCAGATGTTTGCTTTATTTTTTATTTTTCAACAATTTCTGATTTCATAACTTATTTTGAATCAACTGATAACCTTTCATTTTGCTGGTCCCAGAGGGCCAGCCTAGTATCCTCTTTGTTCTTTGACTGACTGACTCCCTCCCCGACTCCCTCCCCGACTGACTGACTGACTGACTGACTCCCAGACTGTTACTACTGAGCCAAGCAGTGCTAGGTTACGCCACAAGGCCAATGAATAGGCTACATTTGGCCTGTTGTGCTCAGATGCACGAAAGACTTCCAATTAAAGCTGCAGTCCATCATTTGCAGCTATCCAAAAAGTAACTGACGAAATTACTGTTGAAAAACATACTTGGTTTAAAGATAGTAATGGGACTAAACTCCCTGTGAAATTATTCCTTCTGGCAAGCTTTCGTTTTGAAGAAAGCAGTGAAAGAAGGCCATTTCTAACGATTCATCTAAAGACGCATTCTTGGAAATTTCTGTTAGCAGTTCATTTTTTAATTTGGCGAAGCGCACGCAAGCATTGACACAATGCACACTTGTGCGCGGTTGTTATAATTCGTCGGTTCAGTGCGCGACACCACGTAGCTGCAATCGGCTCAGTGAGAACGTGTCTCGGACACTGAATTCAGGCCTAATTCAAAACATGACTCAGATTTGAAATCGAGATCCTAGAATATTGTTTTCTCGGAATATACAGCATTCACTGAGCTGAAACTTCATCAGGTTTGTTGTTCAGCACCCTTCTTTAGATTTTGAGCACTTTTGTTGCTTCAAACAAACATAATGCACAAATTACAAATGATGTAATCTACATGTACCTTTATTGAATAGCCATTCTAAACAATGGAATACAAATTTTGCACTCTGAGACCAGCTTTACTATTGGAAATACTGTTCTGATCAAGGATCAGAGAATAAACTCTTAGGATACATGATATAGCTTTTGACATTGGCATTGCATTGGAAATATCAGATATTTCAAAACACTTACTGCTTTTTTTTTAGAGATGAATTTTGCAACCATGGCAACTGCTCTATCGATGTTCCATTTTATATTTGACATGGGTATTCTCAAACAGTATTTCCTGAAAAGCTGAAGTGAAATAGTTTTCCTGGAAAGCTGAAACTATACATACATGTACAATGAAAGTGGAAAGATATCAAGTTACATTTAATACATTGTACAAAAAGTAATTGAGATTATAATTGATTATAAAGTAGTTACTTTATACGTTTAAATTGAACAATTACCTCAACAGATTTAAAAAGGGAATAAATATGTGCTTGGCCGGTTTTAAACAAGTCCGTTTAAGATCAACTTGGTGAATGTACCAGGCTCCAAGCCGGTCTTAAACGGACTTGTTTAATACCAGTCAAAGCATATATTTATTCCCATTCATAAATACCTTTTTTGGTCAAAAAAAACAAAACAAGTTAAACATAAATTAACAATTTTGCTCAACAATTTTACTTCATGTTTTTCGAAACATCCCTATAGCTATGTTATGGTATGTACCTGTCGGGAGTAGTCGTGAACAACTCCTTTTACAACGATTGGTGCGCGCCTGGCACGTACTGCGCAATGTCCGTGGCGGTGCCGGTGTAGTGTGAATTTAGGACTTTCAAAATATGGACTCTTTGCTAGTATTGTGTATGCCTAAGTGAAGATTGTGAACGTTCACCCAATAAAAGTGTAAAGAGACCGGATTTCATAGAAATTTTAATTTCATGTGACACTGGAAAAGTGTTTAAAACCAGCCGGCAAGTCTTTTTATCAATCGTTTAAAACCACCCACTTGACAAGTTCTCGACCAATAGAAATTGGTAAACCGTCTAAGGTATTTATGAATAACTATTAAATTATAACAATTTTCTAATCTAACAACTACTGAATGGCTTAAAGTACCTTTTCGGCTAAATAAATAATAAATTATCCAGATTGATTCCCTTACCTCAATTAAAATCAATGCTTTTCTCAATCTCTTGACTTTGTTCCATGTTTTTATTGTTTTTACTATATCAAATTTGACTTTATTAGCTTATATTCACTGTTTGTTGAATTGTCCAAACATCTGCATCGAAAGACTGAAAATACTCTGTTACCATGCCAACAGCTCCAAACAGTTCTATAGCCTAGAAGACAACAATGCATTTATGATGATACCGCTGTCCACCTGTGCAAAATTAATGAATGCCAAAGCTATACCGGTGTGCAGCAGCAAAGGTTAATCATTGCAATACCTTGCTAGCCATTTGCAGACAATAAAAGCAGTTCTTGGTCAGCACATCAATAATGAACAGATATGGCTGCCACTGGTTATCAAATTATGTGTATCATTTCCTTATGCATAATATAGAGCATTCATGATTTATGTACATGTATAATGGTCGACCAACCTCGTCCCCAGGGTGTTGAGCAGTACGCGCCAACCACTACCTGCTCTCTCACCCTGGTATTGGATCATTTGCACGTGTGCAAGATTTTTGAACTCGTATGCAAATGAGGAATAGTCTGGTGCCTGGCTGTGCGTTACATTAGCGTTTGTTTTGTATGCAGTGTCTGGGGTAAAAACAGCATGGATTTGTAGCGCCGTGAGTTATGAAAACACAATTTTTTTGGTAGTTGAAATGTTACAATCTGGCCCACCAATATGCAGTATCACATTTTATATTAATATGAGAAAACTGGAAAGGAAAAGAGTATTTTTGAGAAGGCGTGGTTGTATAATTACAAAGATCATGAAAACACTTAATACACGTTGGAAATAACAACACCAACTGCATGATATAAATCTATTACTAGCAAATTGCGGTATCGAATCAGGATACGGGAAGAAAGTTCCTATCCAGGGCTTACTATTGGAAAAGAGGTAGGAAATAAAGTAAGCACTGTGGACGAGGTTGGATGGTCAACATACATGTACATGTACATGTACCGGTAGATTGTAAGATGTCAGTTTGATCAAATTGGTTTTGTAACACGGTAAATTTTTGTGCTTTGGATGGAAACATTCGATATAGTTTTCAAATTACTTGAGTCCAACTTTATTACAGACTGAAACAATTTCTGTTTTCAAAACAACTCAAGCTTCATTTGTGACTGACTGTTGGACCGACCGACTGACTGTCTGTCAATTGTGAGCCAAGCAGTGCTAATGCACTTGTAATCAATGGGCTATATTCAGCTCCTTGTGTAGACCAGATACATGAAAGACTTCAATTCCGAATCAATTGAATAGAATTGTGTGTGCTCTAGGATCAGCTTTACTGGACATGCTAGACTTGCGATATCTTGTTTTACAAATATTTTCAATCAATGTAGCTTCAGCTCGTGTTTGGATCGGGTCAGTGACTAAGTACCGGTAGAAATACTGTTCTAACCAATAATCTCAGTAAAATCTAAGGAAACATGTGGCTGTTGACATTTGGCTATGCATTTAAAACAATCGTATTTAAACTCATCCTGCTTTTTTGAAGATGAATTCAGCAACCGTGGCAACCGTTCAATCAATTTTCTCTTTTGTAAGTGACATGAATGTACATGTACACTCAAAAGCTGTTTCCTGAAAAGCTACAATTAAATAGCTTTCCTAGTAAGCTGAACTATTTACATTGAAAGATATCAAGTTAAATTTAATGTTTTTATTAACTGAGATTATAACTACTCAATAAACAGAACATTAAACAGTCAAACAAAGGAATTGACTAGAGCAGGGTTTGAACCTGCAGCCCCTGGATTATCGTTGCAGTGCTCTACCATCTGAGCTATCCAGCCTTACATTAGTGGTTCCCCATTTTGTCGATCTCTTTGTTCAATGGGTGTTAGTCACAACCAATAATGTTTTGATTTAGTAAATATTATGTCAACTTTAATAACTACTAAAGTTCTAGAATTGATAATAAAAAAAAATAATCTCCAAACCCCACTGGAAAATACTCCCTTGTCCCTAAACGTTTTATTTATACTTCTCTCGGTCTAAGGAATTATTTTTAAAGCATTTTGCGACAACATTTGCGCTAGAAATGGTAGTTACAACATTTTGGCGACATTAAAATGTCTCCCTAATGATCAGTGTCTCTAAAATGAAAAACGATTTACTACATGTTGTCAAGGGAAAACCACCCATTGCTAAAGTTTCGTGATGACTCCTCGTGTGGCCGCGGGATGTGGGAAATGCCAGTTTACTATTGGTCAAAGGAGGGTACCGGTGGTTCAAAATCGCTTTACGGAACGATCGTTATTACGAACACTTTCTGTGGATCCTGCGATGTCCGTTATAGGGGCGTTCCACTGTACATCAATAATACTCAATTATTCAATATCAATGTGTTATCGATATTGTCGATATCATACCCAAAAACACAAATTTGATATAAGAAAACGATATTTGAGTGTGGGTGGACCACTGCAGCTTTGTATCAAAAGGAGATATTGCACAAATTGTGTGTTTTTCCCTGTCTCAAATACAAAATAATTCCCTTGAAGTTACAGATATAGGTTTAAACTCATAATTTTAGTTCTAAAGTCGCAACATCCAAACACATGCATTTATTGCAGTGTTTACATTCATGTCTGAACATCTGAAGGCATCAACATTTTGGTTGTGTGAACAATTCATTTTTTGGTGGGACTTTAAACTTTCGGTATACATGTAGTTCCAGAGGATAGTTTATATGTGAATGAACTTGCAGAAACCTGTGTTGTTTTTGTGTCCTTTACGTTAAGTTGTCGAGATTCAACTTTAATATCCAGTGTTGTAGACTGTTCCGGGTTCTTCCACTTCCAGCATATTATTACACTGGCTGGAACCAGTCTATCATTATCGCATGCATGCCGTTTTGCACCAACGCGAAAGAAAGCTTTGCCAGTCTTGTAGGAAAGAGGATTCCTACTGAACTCATCGATCGTAATAAACAAAAGATATAACGCCAAAAAAAAAAATATTCGGTCTCTGGTCAGACCAAAGTTCCGGAATTGACGCGGCCACGCGGCTTTTTTTTTTTTTTTTTTTTCCTTTTTTTTTTTTTCTTCAAGCTTGGATTGTACAGACAAGGTGGGGTAGTATTTTGCTTTTTTGGTGTCCTCATGTAAATTGGTGTCCTCCATAATTTGCCTTGGTGCAATTTCCCATTCCTTGGTGCTCTTTGGTAAAAAAAAATTGAGGCGGTACGGAAATAGAGGGTGCTGTTGGAGCTACCGCGGAACATTTTGGAAAAAAAAAGATCGACGCGCATGATTAAAATCGACGCGCGCGCTGACCAGAGACCGACTTATTATTTTTTTTGGCCTTAGTTTCATATATATATTTATCATCAGAAATTCTGGTATCGACCGGCCCTAAGGTACCAATGAATTTTTTATAACAATTTACAAATGTAGTAATTGTTTAATGGCTTAAAAACCGTGGATAAAATAAATAACAAATCCAATAGATTACATGTAATTTGCTTACCTCTAAATCAAGGCTTTTTCCATCTTTGACTTCACACCATGTTATATTGTGTTACCGTATCACTAATACATGTAGTCCAGACAAGTTGAATGTCTTCGGCAATTAGGCGCTGTTTGTTGAATTGTGCAAGTTCTGTTATCCATTCTGGAAACCCAAGTTCAGTTTACTTTGTCAGTGGATGTTCTGATTTGTCCATGCATATGACTAGTTGTTGATTTGAGAGAAGTAGATGCAGTTATCATTGGTCAGTTGGAAGGTAGCCGGGTCATCCAGATGGGTAGCGTCATTGAGCTGACACAGTTTGTTTCCTTGATCGGTAGTCTTGACGTTGAAGGAGCGACATGTAGGCATCTTGTTACAGGCTGCAGCACATCTGGGTGTCGTCTTGATAGGGAACTCTCTGATGATGTGACCCATGAGGCACCGGTTGGGAACACCCTCACCCGAGTTGGTCGAGTAGCTGTGTTGCATGATGCAAGGAGGTTGTGAGGGTTGGACGCAAACAGCTTGGTAATTGTTTGTGCATGAGTGATAATGCCATTGGTGGTATCCTGGCAGAGCAATACAGTTTCCTCCATAGTCATGGTGATTCATGTTGTTAATGAAGGCATGGCCCTTCTCGTCAGTATCACATTCCAGGATGAGATCCCGTTCCGAGTCATAGCAGGCAATCCACAGGTGGCCTCCGTATAAATTGATCATGAATTGAGCCTCTTCTTGGGATCGAGGAGCGGCCATCTTACCCCCCATGGCCTGGCAAACTTGATGACTGTCATTCCAGCTTTGACCGTCAGTGATGAGATAACAGGAACCATTCCAGTTTTGCCAAGGTGGTGAACAGATGTCAGCATTCAAGACACAAGAATCCGAACTCCATGAGACAATGATTGCTGAACTCACTAGAAGGCAAACTCCCAATGCCTGAATGATAAACATCTTGAATTGACTACAGACTCAATTGGCTGAAGCAGGAAAATGTGGATAAGATTGTTTTTAGATAGTCACACCACAAGTTGTAAAGGTACAATGATGTTTTTGTAGCGTGATATTGTCAGATGGCAGTGAGCTCACACTGTGATGGTTGTGTTATCAGACTGTCAGTGTCAGTGACGTCATGAGTGGGATGGTTGGTGGACAGTGTTCTGCAGCAAGCCTGCATCCATTCACCATACAGGAGCAGTCAGTTTCTATTACAGAAAACAGTCACCCCCGATACATAAACCTACAAATCATTTCCAGTGCAATGCCCCTGACATGACAAAAGAACGTTGCGTTCAAATTTTACGTAATATTTTACATAATTTGTATTCTCTATTCACAAGTTACTTCTATTCTAATGGAAATATCACATAATTAAAAATGTATAATATCTATAATATCAGCTGTCTACCACTGATTGTGGACCGAGAACATTGATGAATACCCTTTAAAGCTATAGTCCATCATTTGCAGCTATCCGAAAAGTAACTGGCGTAATTATTGTTGAAAAACATACTTGGTTGAAAGATAGTAAGGGGACTAAACTACCTGTGAAATTATTCTTTCTGGCAAGCTGTCAATTTGAAGTAATCAACGAAAGAATTAGGCCTTTTTAATTTAAATTTAAATTAGTAGTTCGTTTTGTTATTCGGCGAAGCGCGCGCAAGCATTGGCACGACGCACACGTGCACGTGGTTGCTATAATTTGTCGGATCAGTGCGCGACATTGCGTGTAGCTGCAATCCGCTCAGTGAGAACGCGTCTCGGATGCTGAATTCAGGCCCAATTCAAAACATGATTCAGCAACTTTTGATTTGAAATTGAGATCCTAGAATGCTGTTTTTTTTTGGAATATACAGCTGAAGCTGAGCTGAAATTTCATCAGGTTAGTTGTTCGGTATCCTTCATTAGATTTTGAACACTTTTGTTGCTTCAAACGAACAAAATGCAAAAATTACAAATGATGGACTAATAATAATAATAATAATAGCATTTATATAGCGCCATATATCCAAATCAATTTTGCTCATAGGCGCAGTACAATCGAGTTAAAAACAAATTAAAATTAAACATTAAAAATTTAACAGAATTACACAAACAACTAATAAGGTTAAACTTTATTAATAAGAGTTAAAAACATTCAGGGATCTATTTCTTTAAATACAATGAACCATTGGGTTTTCATATAATGAATAAAAACATGCTTAGAAAAAGAGACCAAAAAATCAACATTATCATTTAAGAATATTTTTTTATATACCCAGTAGTATTTCAGTGTTGTTTCAAATGATTAAATCTCATTTGTATTTGAATACCTGTGTGATGTCTTGTTCTCGGTCAGCTTAATAGCTGCACATAGATAGATCACATTGGAGACTTCAGCATCTGTTAGTGTTAGCATCCATCACGTCCCCTTTGTCCTTGCTGGATTCAGGATGAGTGAGTGAGCGAGTGGACAGATGTGAAAATGGGGTGTTTTTTTTGTGGAAATCATGAATAACATCTGACAGCAACGATCAATATCAGTAATGTATTTTTTTCCAGGATGAGTTGAAAAAGATGCTTGTCTATACATGCTTCATTGGTGTGTTAAATGTTATGACTTTTACATGATAGGCTATTTTTACAAAGTGTGATGAAAACGAATGTTGGCGTAACATGATGGGTACATGCATATGGTGCATATACCTATGTTCCCCAATACCTATGTTCCCCAACCCTAACTCTAACCCTAACCCTAACCCTAAGGATTTTGGAGAACATACGTACTGGGAAAGATCAGGTATTGGGCAACATCGGGTTGACCCCACATGTACGACACAGAGTATTGAATTAAAAAACTCAAAATGTAACAGCATACATGTAGATGAGTATCGTTTTTTTTTAAGACGTCTATGGTTGGACTGGAACAAATTATCCCTCAAAAAGCATTTTAAACCAAAATGGGCAAAAGATTGGTAAGGTGCCCCGTGTGCAGGCTGTAGTGCTACCAAATGAAGTCATGTGATAGGTTACCAGCCAACCAATGACCAACATTGTAAAAACAAACATGGCCACAGAATATGACAATTATAATGGTCAGCACAATGAGTAACTCCCCTCCATCATTTATCAACGCCTCTAAAAGGTTGCAATGGCTCCACACCAATGAAAATATTTGTCTAATGAATATACTATTTGTCTCATGAATAAACTATGTGTAAATGTGTGTGTGAAGTTGCATTGCTTTTATGCAATGCTTGAAACTAAGTGTGCACAAATAACGTTAGATAAAATTTGCAAGCAGTGAGTGTTTTGCAGGAGGTAATTTATAACTCTCAAGGGATATAGCCAGCGGCATAGC